TCCCAAGCTTAAATATATTGCATGTTACCTAAGTACAGACATTATTTACCTTCTTCGCGTTTATATAATATAACAATGCTATTGGCTAGTTAGTAGTCGCTTGGAAAAATTTTAAAAATTGGTTATTTTTTCCGTTAAAATATACACTATTTTCACCGTGATCGAAATCGGTATTCACTGGCGCTATTCAACGTTAACTAATTTGCCTCGCATGTTTTTTAACTAAAGATGAAATTATTATTTTTTTTTTTAAAGGAAATATTCTTCTATAACAGTAATGTATAATAGTACTTTGTATTTCATAGAGCGCGTTTTAATGCGGTGTACCGTTTGAAAGTTAATGATCCAGAAACTTTCCAAAATTGAACAAAAAAAAAAAAAAATTGACTTTTTAATTTTTCTTTCTTTTCTAAGTAATTGAAAACGAATTAAAAAACATTATGCATTCGTATACTACGGTTCAGGCTATGCCAATGGGAAAATAATACAATATGATGAACAAATATCTGACACAACATATCAGAAACCGAGAGAAGAATATGTTTTTCCATCTATTTGTTTGCTAAGTATAACATATTTTAAAGGTAGGTGGTAGATATCGTTTATGTGGTTTCTTTTTTTTTTTTTTTTTTGGAAACCCCACTTCCGTCCTCAGTGGAATTATTCGTTGCATTCACCATACGTCGATAAATGAAGTCGGAAAGTTCAAATTATGCCGTCTGAAAATCGACAGATATCACAGGAAATGCGTCCGGACTCGGTTTGGGTCGCTTTCGCTTGAAACGGTTTGTATTGTATTAGGAGAATCAAATGTTCAGCCAAAGTAAAAGTAAATATTCCACGACGCTACTTATAGATTCGCATCGAAGATTATTATTTTTCCTCCAGACGGGTAGGCGATCATCACGTCAGTTCATATGATTTGTTTATTACTGATACATATTTCCACTGTGGTTCGGATGCAGTTGACTGGTTTTTGTTGGCTGTGTTCACTTTATTACATAATATAAGAAATGTTATTTTGAAAATGTTGACGGTAATTTTTTTGCAAACGTGTCTATATAATAGGAAATAAATTATTTGCAAAAAAGCCAGGTCACAGACAGTCACAGGTCTACAGGAATTATTACACTTACTGGAAGTGATAAAATGATTTTTTTTAATAAACGCTTCGATGTGAATCCGTGGCTAGTAGGTTCAAACCTGTACGGTCAAAACCAAGCACAGTACAATCCAGCACAGTACAAAGTATTGTTGAGTAAGTTAGTACACAGAAACAATTACAATATAGTTAACACAATACATACATTTTTGGTTGAAGCAACTAGGTGTACAATATTGTTTGGTTAAAAAGAATACATTCTGAAAAAACTGTTTTTGAGCATAATTATTAAACTCGATTGGTTTTGATTTTAAAATTGGCTTCTATGGGCAATTTTACTTAACATTAGCTGAATAAACTTCGGTTGGCCAATGTTGAATACACCTAATTGTTTACCTAGCAACGTAAATTAAACCATATACATAATATAGACATTAGGCTGACAACATTGATGTTTAAATTATTAATTAATACTTAACGATTTACAAAACAATTTAATACATGTAATTTAGTAAAATTTAGACCATTATATTTTTAGAACGCCATCATTATAAAAATATGTACATTTTTTTGGGTGTTTTTCTCGATTTTGAATAGGAATAGGTGATTTTTTTCAAATATTTGATCCAATATAGTACCTTACAGGTACGATTTCTGATCTATAAAGTTACTACACGAAGAAATCGGTTGAGCGGCTCAGAAGATATCAGACACAAAAATTAAAAAATTAAATACAATAACTTCTCAGCTCCGTATCGAAGCTAAAATATTTAACAGCTATTTCCCTATCTCGACGATAAACCTATTCCCATACGTATTCATTTTTTTTTTAATCGAATAAAACTTTAACAGAGCTGAACAAAACAAAACAAAGTTAATTTGATAGTAATAGATATTTTATGAGTTTAAAAAGTATTAAAACAAAATTGTTAGTGCTCGTTCTTCAAATCTGATAACAATATTATTCATTATTCCGTCCGGCCGAAAGCACCAAATATCCGATTTCAGTCTGTTTTCATTATACTGTTACTAATTTATTGCAAGGAAAAAATTCCATTTACAAAAATTGTGTACAAACATGACGTTCGTATGTAGGTACAATGTAAACATGTATACATTTATGAGTTAAAATTTGTCAGGTTTATGTAGGTATATAAATAGAAAAAATAGTGTATAATAATATAATACAGAAAAAGTAAAATGAAAAATAATAACAAAAAAAGGAGAAAACAAATTAGTATCTTTACACTAATAATTACATCACTTGTGTTAATTTAATCTGACTAATGTATCAGTCATAAGAAATTGATCGGTTCGCTAGATTTGCTCTAAAACTTAATCATCGTCTTTAATAAATAATTAAAAAAAAAAAAATAATAAATAACAAAATTAAAATCGACGCGTGTTCACACTTCACGCCACCTGTTTAAGCAATTCAAACAATTCAATTCATCTCAAAAACTACTGTACCGTTTCCATGCCCAGACTGTACATAGGTAGTCCTACGATAACCATCAGTATAAATAATATATACCTATTATCATTGGATTGTACAACTACGTTCCATTGTTATATCAGAATTTTCCACATACAATATTATTAGACACAGACACGCGTTAGTATTACGTTTGTATAACTTGTGTATTGTCGAACAAGATATTGGTCTTATTGACGTTTCTACGCATTTTGATTTAATTTTCTATGCATAATACCTTATGGTAGTACAAGAATCATTGGAGCCTTTATCAGTGGATAGGACGACCACAAACGACAATGAACAAAAATGACAGTTACACTGTAGTAAGTATAACACTAGCAGTTCAATAATTAAATTAATTAAATAATACGTTTTTTTTCCGGTTGGGTGTTTTTATTTAGTAAAAACTCGAAAGCTCACAACATAGAAGTGTTTAGTCGATTGATTCAGATTAAACCAATTTGAAAAAGAAAAATGTAGACTTCTAAAAATTGGGAGTTAACGGCTGTACTACTGATATACCCCACTCAGATCTACATTAAAAAAAAAAAATGTAAAAACACATCAATGTGAAAACAAAATACCTTCTCAGGTATGCACCACATAAGTGTACAGGCAAACATACCACTGTTGTCGACATGGACGGATTGACCAGATAATTCACCATTAGAGCCAATTATATGCCGTGAAGATTGTTATTAAGAAAATTAACTTCCGCGAAGTGAGTGTGGACACTTAAAGTGACTAAAATAAACTTTATAATCTACAAGAGCATTAGCCGTTGGCAAGTATAATATAATATAATAGTGTGTGTAAGAAAATGTTTCACCGCAATGACCGAATGTTGAGTGATTACAAGATACCGTCGAAAAATCAATTACAGATAAAAAGTGATTCTAGCCAAAGGGGCCAAGAATACTTGTGTATTAAAAACAATTTCTAGTCGAAATATTTTGATTTCTCGCTTTACTTTCGAGCTTTAGCGGTTAAACGACGATTACATAAATAATGTTACTTTTTTTTTCTTTAAATAATGTTAAGTTATTAGAGAAAATTACAGGTTGATTTAAACTAAATAAAATAAAATAGGTTTTTTGAGAAATTCAATAATGTTTTTTTCTGATTGTATACTGGTGGATAGGGCTCTATTTTGTTTTTTGACAAAACATATCATTTAATGAAATTTAAAAAAAAACACATATTTTATAAATAAGAATTAATTTATCAGAATGGTTCCAAATTAATTGAAACATGTATTAGTGTTTTAATAGATTTAAAGCCCTTTGTTTATTCATGACCAAAACAAATCTTGTTGTAATTTTTTTCTTTCGTGTTATAGATTGATTTTAAGGTAATATAAGTATCTTCAGTCTAATTTTCAGCTTATTAATTCTAAATTTGCCAGAGAAGGGGCAGGGGATTATCAAAATTTTGGTTCTGAGATGATTTATGAACACATGGACATGTCTAATTCATATTCTATTAGTCGATCCGACCGTTTTTCCCAAAGTCATAGCAAATCAAGGTCTTTTTACGGATTTTTGTTGTACGGAGGGGGGGGGATGATTACGCATAGGCAAATTTAGGCTAACAAACTGTGCGTGGGCAAATTATTGTACACTGTACCACAGGTTAGATAAAACCAGATGGTGCACTCCTTGTTACAGAAATTGAATTGCTGAAAATGTAAACAAACCAAAACCCTCCTCAACTCAGAGTGACCACCGGTAGAAAAAAAATCTTTATGATAAATTATTGTTTCAGAACTGAGCACCGCTGAATTTATTGACTATTATCACCGATTTATTATAGTAAAATTGTTTGTAGACAAACAGGGCTCTGTAAAACACTCTAACCTAAATAAACTACACGAGTATCCTTACGTATCCAACTTGACATTACACTCAGAACTACAAATCAAAATCGTCTACCACCAAGTTGCCAAACAACTTTACACCCGTTATCACAATTCCCTAGAAAATCGTTCTAATATTCTTATACAAAATCTTTCTCTGCCAAATACGCCCGCCACCATCCTAAAAGGCCAAAAAGAATGTAATGCCAAGATCTTCTCTCCCCTTGAGTAAAAATCAAAACCCAATGGAGTGCCGTCAGTGCGCGGCTTCCGATTTCTGTTACCAATAGTAATGCAATCTTTGTGAACCGAAATTATAGTTCTGGTCTGTAACGTCAACTATTTGGTCCGCCTAAACTGTATCGCCGGTATGCCGGACGGATAGCTGATCTGTATCATCACTAGGAAACGGCGCAGAGGTGGCAGCTAGCTGTGGCCCCTCTCCTTTGGTCCCGGCTGGATCTCGCTCGGTCCCCTTCCCCGACGGTGTCCAGGCCGTAGACAATCCGATTTTTTAATGCCGTTAGTGTTATTTTTCCGACACACACACGGTCCGTCACCGCAACGGTGCAGTGATGTAGTTCGCAATAATAAAATTAAAAAAAAAAAAAAAAAACCTTAAATCCGCGTCAATGTGATGTGTTGATAATCGCGAATAGAACACACTTATTTGTATGTATGTTTGATTTTTTTTGCAGAAAATAATTGTTTAGTTAATTACAAAAAAATAACAATAAACGCGGTGCGCTCTCGATAAAATTGTCCGGTTCGAAGGACTACGCGCGGGCCATGCCACCCTGTCGGTGGTCCATGCCGCCGGTCCACGTGACCCTGGTCACTTTACTTGTGTTGCAGGTGGACACCGCGGAGAGGTCGAGAATTGTAAGTATAAGTCACGGTCGATCAGCTAGAAGTCCGCCTTAGTAGCCATATTTTAGCACCGGCAAGTCCGAAAGATAACGGGAAGTTTCCGGCGTGGAGTACGACTACCAATGCAACACCACATCTCTCGTTTTCTTTTCAACTTTACAGGGGAGCAAAAGAAAGATGATTGTAATATTATTTTGTGACTGCTGATCTATTCTTGGATTCCATAATAATCAACCACTGTGAATACCAAAAAATCGGGAACAAAAAGAAATTAAAAATAGTTCAGGCGATAGCCAAACCCAAATTACAATATCCTTTGTAAAAAGTAACTTAAGCGCCATTTCTAAGGAGTAAAGTATAGGCAATTTTTCGAAAAATCTTAATTTAGAGTTTGAACTATAATGTATACTTATTAATACAGTGTTAAGGATACTTTGTTGATTGCCATTTTTTTTTTGTCAGACTATCATAGTCATTTCTATAGGATAAAATACAATTTTTTTGCCATCAAAACTGCTTTGCGCGGATTGATTTTTCTCAGGCTTCATGTATAGTTAAGGAAAGAAATTCATACATGTTATTAATGACAAAATTATCTGTGTTCCGTCATCCGTATTTTTTCGATATACCTTTACAACCAACACTATATCATTTTTAAAAAAAGTCCTTTCTTAATAATTAATTATTCATTAACTGGTTGAAATATTAAAAAAAGAGCGATGGTAGAACACAGACAATGTCGTTGTCTATATTATGTAAAAATTTGGTTTCTTAGTTTAGATTATAACCTTAGTAAAATTAATCCGCGTAAGGCGGGTTTTTTGAAGAAAACAACGAGTGTGTGACGTCCTCTTAACTGTGATTTTGAAGTACGCCATTTTGACGATAATGCAGATAATTTAAGTTAATGCAAGCCCAGTTAAGTGAAAAAGTAAAAAATAACTAGTGATGATCATACATAAAACAGTCAACTAAACACACCATTACAGCATTGTGGTAACACGTTCCCGCTACAGCTAATATTGTAATAATAATCATCTAATTTTTGGGAGGGAGGTAAGGGGCTGAGGGTATTTTTTGGATTCTAAAAAAAAAGTTTGTGGCCCGTTTTTTTCCGTTTTTTGTCCGTTACTTTACAGTATTGCGGTAAATTGCATCGCCGTTTTGATGGAAAAGAAAGCGGAAAATTATAAATGCACCGAATGACTGTTTTTTTTTTTTTTTTGCTTAATAAATTATAACGCGTACATGTTGTTTACTATGATAATTACATGGTCTGTTCGGTAGAAAATCAAAAACGCGCACAAAAGTCGCCAAAAGGCGATGATACCAATTTGCTTTGGCGAAAGTGAGCCGGGGGGGAGGGGGAAATCTTAAAACTAAAAATTAGCGCTTTTCAAAATACCCACATTTATATTTTAGTTAAAGGTTGTTTAAAGTTAAAATAAACATACCACTGATTTTGGGTTTTAATGCGTTTAACAAGCCCCCCTCCCCAAAATTTCTGCCAATGCTAATTTGGTTTTAGCGTAATCCACGTGTATCCAGATCTGATTGACAATTATTTTGAAATCAATAATTACTGCACAGAATCTAATAAGACCATTTGCGACGGTAATCGCATTCCCACTCGGTAAATTACCGTTTTCACCCAAGCAATCAGAACACTCAATTACCTGTGAATAATTACCATGATATAATCGAAATAGCAATTAGGAATCGATAAGCATCCGAGAGGACTAATACCAATTATTACTCTACAGTTATTATATTATTACAATGAATTAAATAAAAGGAACCTTTGAACACGGTGTTAATTTGCATTTGGCACTGATGAGTTTAGCCTTCATTTTTCCACCATTTAATTTAATTAAGGGTGAATTTAATATTTTCCTATTTAATTTGAAAACATTAATTAATGGCGAATTGACAAAATCCGAGTTGGTCTCACAGCACATATCAAAATTGTAAGTAAAATAAAATAAAAAACTGTCAACGTCAAAATTAAGTTTTTGAATTTTTCGTCTGAATCTCACTAAGTATAATGTGTTGCAGATTTTTCATTTTAAAATAACAATATATTATTTTTTTTAAGATGGGAGAATAACTCATAGCTGATTCATTGAATAATACTATCTGAACAACAGACGACTAAGTAACATTTTTCTACCTTCTCCACTCCACATTAAAGCTAAAATTAAAAATGATTTTTTTCCCTAAATAATTATTGTAATTTTGTAGATATTCAATTTTTTATCTTTCTATTTTTTTCCAGAGCTCTATTAAACTATTAAAACTTAAACGTCCATATATTTAATTCACTTTTTCAATTGAGAACAATATGTTGAAATGTTTGACCGGTCGGTAACCAGTTTCGGACAATAATTACATACGCCTAACCTTAGTAAAATGTTTAAAAGTGATTATCCAAAACTGGCTGTGGACCGGTAAGCAGTTTCAGTAGATTATTCCTAGTGTAAAAATTAGTTTAGATGGAAGCTAATTAAAATATAAGTTCCAAAAGTCAATGGAACCTGAAAAATAGCAAAAAAAAGAAGATAAATATTTTTGTTGCTTTATAATATCGTCAAATAACATAAACGGAAAGTGTTCTCAAAAAGCATAACTTATTGTACGGGTCTAGTTTTTCGAAGCGATTCACCGCCACCATATTGTTTCTTCTTCCGCGAAATTCAATGAATCAAATAGTTCGATTAAATGGACAATTTTTTTGTGTTTATGTAATATAAAAAAATCTATTGTAAAAAACGTCATTAGGACGGACTGTTAATTATTGTTCAGTGTTGTGTGTTGGACGTCTACGATTGTCCAAGTGGCATTCGATATTATGTGTTATGCATGTTCGCTGTGCAGTGAATTTCAGCAAGACAATAAACGTCTGACGGTGATGATTTTTTTCTTGACAGTTGTCGCACATCGGAGGCGTTCACAGTTGTCCAGATTGTACCTGCCTGTTACGTGGGCACACATCGTTATTGCGTTTCCATATGTGTTCTATCTACTATTGTTACACAACAGCTACCAGAGCAACAGTATTGAGAGCTACGGCCGATTTTGTAGATCTCCCAATGATATTTGTTTTTGTTTTTCAGCTTCGACGCGTACCGTAGCCGAGAAGCTATTGTTTTCCTGAGAAATATGTGTTTTTATTTATATTATAGTATATATTATATTTATATATATATTTTAAAAATATCACCCTTAAAGGTGCGGAAACTTTTTCCTATTCTCTTTTTCGAGCGTAGTCTTTTGACTAAAGACCTGAAAATTGGACAGAAGGTACATTAAGAGCATCGAAGTGAAAAAAAAAAAATTACATTATTTTTTTTTTTTGGTATCTTTCACCTTTTTACAAGCCGTTATGGCTCTATTCAATTGACTTTAACAACTGTCCTTTAACAAACATCAGCCATAGTTCAGAAAAAAACGATTTCATAAAAGACCGCTGACTAAAACTAATATAAATTTACCCTCAGTTGGATTGGCATATTTATAATGCATCCTAGATTAGTTTATGTAGAATTTGTTGGAATTTTGAATTTTGTTACGCGTTTTGAATTCAAGTACTCATACTCATTAAAACAAAACGTTAGAGGTCAAAAACAAATTATAGTTTAACCGGAAAAAAAAAATGTAATTAATTCACACATTTTTCTCATCCTCCGTTAGAACGTTGTATGTGTTTTAATTAAAAGGCGCAAATGGATTTTATTTTTAATTTAACACGTTTTTTAACCGAATTAAATTTTGCTCACCTTTAAACATGCAAAGGAAACCGTGAAATGTGACAGTCTAAGATTTATTATTCGTTTCCCGTCGCTCTTTTCGGTATATAATTAACGGGCTTACAACGGAATTGATAAAGTGAATTTATTTTGGAAATATACATTGAAAATCAGTTTAAGAGGATACAATTGGTTTTTATACTAAATTCTATAGTTCCTGTAGACTTCTCAAAGTGAGAGAAAAATATTATAAACAACAATATTACTATACTTTATATCGTGAGAACCAAGTCCTACTTTTTGTAAAATATAATATGTATTTGGAGTTTGGAACAATGCGTTCAAACGGCGACCTCTGTTTTACATTTCCCTCAGTTTACCGTTATTGTCTTGCGACGAATTATTCGAAACATATCTGGAAGAAAAATTACTGTAATAAACACAGTATTTTTATTCTACTCAAATGTGTCCATTATAGAGTAGATCCGATACGTTTATATTGCCAACGATACTCATATAATTCAGAATAATTATATAAATGGTGATGCATTTTAAAAGTATTCGTAGGGTCGATGTCGGTTTTCTTCAATATCACTTTCAAAATATATGTAAGAAAGACTATAAAACATTGGTTTCGTTGACAAATATGGTTTGATCAACAATAATAATTAGAGAAATTCAGAAATGTCTATTGAGAGGAGCGTGCATACTATATAATCTTGTTTATAAGTTGAAATGTAGCAACTCTGCAGAACATAAATCGTCCCCGAAAGGCACTTTACTGGGGAAAACATTTAAAAAGTTTTCTCCTTTCTGTTTAAAATCGGGGAAAATACCAAAAAAAAAGACATATTTTTCAATTTGAAAGTTATATGGAGCGCTATAACTTTTTTTCGGACAAGTCCAGTTAGTTTCAAATTTATATGACATACTCTTAAGGAAAAGTACTATTGATAAACGTGGACTGACCTGCAATCATGTTACATCATAGCAAATGTACACCGTACTTTACTGAATTGAATTGAATCAATCGTTGTCTTTTAAACGTTCACACATTTTCGTCGTGTTATACACCTAGCTTTTACCTAAAAAAAAAAAATACTTTAATTTGGCACGACGAATTCGAATATGGTTAAGACTAAACCGAGCCGCTGTCTTATTTGGTCACATATTCAAATTTGTAATTTCAACGTTCGGTGCGTTCTCTTTGTTGATGTTTTTCATCCTCGCCTACATCGACCTTAACATTTTGAATAATTATAGTTATTATATTAGTGTACACGAGAAATTGACGATGCGGGCATATTCCAGCACTGTAATAACCACTTAATAAAAATGTCTCATTATAATAAATGAGCATGTTTAACAGAATATGTTGTCATTGAATAGTATGGCAGCATCGCCTGATAACGGATGGTTTTTTGGAGAAATACTACTCGATGAAAATTACTACGTTTTAGGCATGTCTCAAAGTGGTACTTCACGCTTGTGTTAAGTTTTGAATTCGTCGCCAAAGTAGGAATAGGATGAGAAATGTTTGTTTAAGTAGTCTGTGACTTTGCTACATTTTCTCCAAACCAATCGTATCGTGGACCTTGTCTGGGAAGCCGATTTATTATCAGAAAAAAAGAGGATATGGTGCATTTGTGTATGCAGTTATCACTCGCCTCACTCCCCTGACTGTCATAAGTAATTTTATCCTAAATGTACATTACAATAATTCGTTACCTGGCAGTAGATCCGAACCGTTATAATTCAATTTGTTTATTCTCAAAACCAACCAAGATAATCACAGCTTCCGTGGAAACTCTCACAGCCCTCCAACCTCACTCCCCGGGATTGGGCTTTTGGGTTTATTGGGTAAATAAAACGTTTCTATTATTTTTATTTTTTGAGGTTATGACCTTTGAAGTTATACCACAGGTTAGATGACACCACAGAGTGCAGTTCCCATTAAAGCAATGCTGAAAATGTAAACAAACCAAAACCCGAATTCTTAATGAGAAATTATAGTTTCAGAACCGAGCGTCACTGAGTGACACCAACTGTCGAAGAGGATTTCGGTTATCAGTAAACGACTGAGTGCATCTGCATCCGGTTTTATCTAATCTGCGATTGTACGGAAGATGATGATTGACATATTATTATATATATATATATAATTTTTTAAATACCGAAGTGACCACATTTCGCTAAACGGCCAACATATTCATACGTCGATGTCGGTCGATGAAAATAATAATATTCCTATTGTGTCAGAATCGATTGACAACGGCAGTTATTATTATTATTATTTAAAACGGAAATGTGTATCGCTGCGCGCGCGTTCACAATCAGTGTTGGTAGTTTAATCCAACAAGTGCACAGATCTGTGTTGTACCGGTGGCTGCTGGTACCACTGGCAGTAGAGTAACATAATATTAGCGTTGCGGTTTTCCCCGCTATACTCTCCGTGACGGGTTTTTCCACGACCGCCATATAGCTCCGGGTCTTTTTAGACACGGTTTAACGGCCCGACGATACGTCTAGGAAGTCGTTTTATATTATTATTCTTATAATATTATTTTTTTTCCCCTTCTAGTCGCTCGTCTACCGCGTTTTTTTTAAATCCTATCATTTTTTTTTTTTTTAACCCATACAACTAAACCAACCGTGCCGTCGACGGTAATAAGGCGACAATAATGCGTTCGGTCAGTCCGGAAGACCATCGCAAACTTAACGACTTAATAATAATACACTAAAACAAAGTTACGAATGGTAAAAAACAATTAAGTAGAGCCCTATTGACGCGTCGCGAAATAGTGTCTCAAGACAGTGTCCGCAGTCGCAAATGTTCAAAAACGTTTCACAAACCGGCGTTTCGACGTTGAGAAATACAAAGAAAAATACAAAAAAAAATTAATATAGATACAAAAATTAACCGTTTTTCCGTAAGCGGTTATGTGGGCATTTATATGTCTCACCCCTGCCAATTAAAAACGTCAATGCGCGAAATTGCACATTTGACTTGTTGCGAGTAAACGATGTTGACGAAAACGAATCAACGTTTAAGTTACATTGTAATTATTGTGGTGAAAGGTCGTGTGCGAGGGGGCTTTTGACGATGACATTTTAGTCAATTTTTCAGTCGAATCTTTGAATAATGATATTATGAAAATAATTGTGGCCCTTTAATCTTGATTCCAGCAAAAGCGACAGTTGTTTCGTGAACACGTGCTGCCGTTCCTCGGCGGCAAGATACCAGATTCAGCGTTTCGTGCGGACCGTTTAGCGTTGAACATGTTAAACAAAGAAGGCATATCTGTTCCCGACGGGATTCTGTTTGATATCTCTCCCAGGGAATCGCATCATCAGTCTTCGCGAGTCGATCCGGAACTGTCCAACTCCATAGTCAAAATGCTACACACGCCGGATGGAAGGTAAATAATTTTACAATGTCGCTTTCAGTGCCTATTTAAATCCACAAAAAAAGGTCAGTCGATCTACGGTGATGGACGGTTTTGAATGGAACGTAGTAAGATTGCTACGGATTAATTAAAATATATTTCTCAATCTATTCCTACCCAGGCAGCAAACGCGTAACTTGACAGGTTCGGGTTCGTACGGAAATTTTGGAATCTTAACAAACCAGGAGCTGATTTTCTTACCTTTGTTATTGAGTCATACATTGATGATTGTGATTGACACATTTTGTCGACCTGAATACACCCCGAATGGACCAATTTTGAGAAATGCCAAAATTAATGGTATTGACTTTGATCCGAATAATTGTACTACTAATGGTAAAATTACTCGTATAATATAATATGTAAATCAAACGCCACGAGAGCAAGCAATATCAATACATCGGCTGCACTTAAATAGACCACTTGAATAATAGTGTCGCTAAATTAAGCCACACCGTTATGGGTTCAAAGGAGTACAAGCGGGGGATTAGGAGAAATCGATACAAACGTTCCGAAATGCATCTTAGTTCGCTTAAGATAATAATATTTAATCCATTTGAACGACAATAGAATTGACCTTTTGTTAACATTCCTAATTAACCTTTTCACCCGACCGAGATTTGATGTGAGGGACCAACGACCTTGGTATTGCTTTGAGCTAGCCAATTCCTCATTTCTTTCCTGGTTTTCTGTGGACCTGAAAAATATTCTTGTTAGTGTAGTTGTAATGGTAGTAATGGTTTTTATAGATAGTACATGTCGTTTTGAATGTTCTATATTTATCATTGTGTGTAACGTCTAAAGAGGTTATCGCACAACTATTAAATACCTTACCAGCATACACATACAGGTCTTTTTTTAAAGTTAAGACGCTCAAATAATTGCATTTTTGTAGTTTTTTTTTTTGGACTCAATTTAGTTTATGTCATTTTACAATATCAGACAAAATATTTAAATGTTTATGTATCCTTTCGATTTTTTTCTATACCTCTATCAGCTTTTCAAACTAAAATGGTAACGCAGTAACTATTAAAATTTCAAAATTTGATAGAGTTGATTGGAAAGCAACAAATTTGCCATTGTTTTATGAGAAAATGAGTGTATCTCACCCATAATGAATCACTCTATTTTTCTTGCACTATTCGATGTTGTAGTCGTTTCGAAAATATTATACTAAACTGGTAATGTAATCGACACAAATTGTATAAATCTTCACAAATGTGCTGCGAATATAAAAGTTTTGTAAAACTTTGCAACCGTGCTAATACAATATTCATAACGGGATAATGCACAAGGACAAACCATCTTTCCTACGACTATTGTGTTTAGTAAAAGTTTAATCCAATTCGACAAAGTGGTCTTTGTCGTTTTGACTGTTCCGATAAAGTGCCGAGTGTTCCATCTAAGTAATCTCTAAGTGTTATTCACCATTTGTGTCCCCAGCCGCAGCTATGCAACTCCGGTCGATGATTTAAATTTATAGCAATAATTATTTACATTTCATCACGTCGCACGTTTTCGGTTGTATTCATAACAAAAGTGCGCTCTTTAAAGTATGCACAACATAGACATGACGATTAATAATACCTTTTGTACTTTCCGATAAAAGAAAAAAACTGAAAAGGTATTGGTTTTACAATAATGTGTGTGTGTTGTATTTGTGTCTGAGGAAAATGCTTCGGTGCTAATCTTTGGATACTGGACCCCATTTAAGTAATTTCGAATTGTACTGGTTTTGACTGTGCTTGTCTTGAGCTCTATCGGTTTACTTGATTTGTATGGTACTGGTTTAGACAAGTATGTAGGTGGTGACTATAGAGGTTTTATGGTGACGCAAGCAAGAAGGGCTAAAGACAGTTTGCTCGTTAAGAAGAAAAACAATATCGTTTAATATAAGATAAGATATTATTGATAACAGTATATGGGGGGGGGGGAAACAGGGATATTTTAAAATAAGGGTAACAACTTATTTTATCATACACGGTACCAACCGGAATCTTATTGTGTGCTGGGTTTTTTTTCCGTCTAGGTACGTGCCATCCGAAGGCAAACACGATTTCGAAAACGAGGTGGAAACCACCTACAGGATCGTGATCCCTTCGAACTATCCCAACTACCAGTTACCGAGGTTTAAACCGTTACCAGGAACATTGCAGTTGCCAATCAGACAGATTTTCGACGGCGGTTTCCGCGCCAACACCGTTCAAGGACAATTGGGAGTCCCTTTCTATCCACAAGGACAGGTATAGTATAATATATACATATATAAACAAAATGTCTCTCTCAACGAATAATATTTTAACACATTTTGTCGTTCGGGAGGATTATCCTCGAAAAATGTTTACAAGTAATTATTCTAAAAAAATGTAATATATATATATATTATTCAAGCCTTTTATGCCGGAGAAAAAAAATCGGCGACAGTTTTACCAAGTTTGGAAAGTAATTATTATGCCATCGGTGTTTGTAGATAAATCCTATAATAACGTTCTTTTCGAACGTACAACCTGAAACGAGCGAAGAGTTTCCTATCGTCGCATAACATCATTATGATATTTTTTTATCCATAAGTACACATAATAATATACCTACATAATAAATATTTTTATATCTTTATAGCCACCTCGGTGGCGTTTCCCAACAATACCAAAACGCTTTAAATGTCGGCCGGAGCGCAGTTTTCTTATCTATTGTTATCCGAACCGTTTCTGATGGCGTAATCCTTGTTTCCAGCTCAACGGCAGCTGTTCGACACATTTTTTCGTTTTGTGGTAAAAATCAAATATTAATTCAAATATGACTAGTAGAATAATTATGTGTAAATAAATAACTATATTCCAATGTAGATATAGTTACCTACTACGGTGACGTTATAAGACCAAGTACTTTATTACTCACGGGAAAACGACGGCAAGATTTCGGTGAACTCGAATTCACTTTGAGCGCAAACTAGGAATTAATTTAAATATATTTTTCCAACCGATGTTCCACTTTGTCTCGTATAATTCCAAAACTAACTTTAACTCTGAGGGATCGTTACATTCATCGTCCTTTGAGCTGTGTCGAGCAGCTGAGAATAGGTTTTGTTTTTACATTGTTGTGATTTTATTTTATTTTGTCTGGTCCCACGGCATTTTCCAGGAAGATGGTAAACTTTTAAAAAAGCAAGAAAACTTACTATAATTTTCAGACCTTGGCTCTAACGCTTCACTTGAAAAAGCAAAAAAAAAACACTAAGTTTCCACCCCTCCAAAAGGGATTGGGTTTATAATATTTTGTTTGTTTGTTGACTTTTACCGGTAGCACTAATGGCTAATGAACATTTCTTACAAATCTGGACCCAATTCGACTATTTTCAACAAAAAAATTATACAGTGCAGTAAGTTTATGTCGAAAAAATATGTACATCTTTTTAGGATATGTTATCACAAAAACGTATGAAACAATAATTTCAAAATCGATTTTTTTTTTTTTTTAGAACAATCGGTTTGTAGAAAATAGGCTACTCGATTATTCTAGGAAACCAATAGGAGCGTCTTATACTTAACTGTATCGCACTGTACATAGTTATAATACAGTCATAGCACAATATGAATTATCTAGTCTGGAGAAAGACGAGCGGATCGAAACGCGACTAAACCGTGAAATCGAACAACGAGACGAAAAATCCAAATCAATTTAATTCGATTTCGGCTAACATTGGTTTTTGGTCGTTGTAATTGGATACCGTGTATTGTCGTATAGGTAGGTAGATATGTCTGTTTTATTAATCCCGGCGCCGCCGTCTTGGTCTGACCTCCTCTACCGGCGGTCTTTGGTCGTGCACTTGTGCGTGGAAAACGATAAGGAGACAGAGAGAGAGATCCCTCGGGACATTGTAGGAACTATTTTCACTTTGCTCTTGCACCGCACGGACGTTATCCATAATGATCTGGCCGGGATTTCACTTTGAGCCCGTAGCCGGTCCGGAACTAAACCCGAAACGCCAATTGCGCGATAATAACAGCCAGCTACTGTATTGCTATTGTAACGCGCAAACACACCAACAATCGTAGATTAGTCGTTTAAATACAGTGTTGCCGGCGTTAATTATTATTTTGTGTTAAACATAAAAAAATAGTACCGACATAGTCATAGACGCGTGACGGTCCGCGGTGTTGGAAATTTCCACTAGAGTAATCGCCGCCCGAATTAATTTACACGACTTTCCTCTTCTTTTCTTTTCTTTTCAAAATAACGGTTGAAATCCGATTTGACGACAACAATATAATACATTTGTACAACACAATTATTATGTATCTTTAACGTGGATACGTTTTTCGGGCTCATTCCATAATATTGCGCCACGTCACGAAATATGTGACGCCCAAAAACATACCCGAGATTCAATGATAGCTATGGTTTTATTTGTTTGTACCCGGACCCGCATGTAGCAAGTCTACAGGTAGGTCGGAAATCCGTAATGGGCTTTTATTGGGCCAATCATTTTAAAAAAGTCCACCCCTTTGTCACGAAAACCGACAAAACCACCCAAAACATTACATACTTTTTCCACTGAATCTACAACGCGCTATACGTTTTTTTTAAATAGTCCAATTAGTTCCAAATTTGTATTCCAATATTCCTTAGATATAGAACTATGCACGATAGGCGTATACAATGTATTCAAAAACCGTTCATGTACGATTTTCTTCAAAATCTGTAGAAACCTACCTTTTTTTTTTTACAAAGAAAAACCAAAATAACCCAGTACAGTGGGGTCGAGACAAAATAGGGACAGAGCATATTGGGGCGGCAGAGGTTATAGGTTTACAGGTATTATTATAACCCAAAGAGATAATTTTTATATAAGCGCTTCAATGCCAATCCGGAGATGGTAATTACAACTCAGGATTTTAATATAATAATAATGTGCTTAAAATTATATTTTCAGTATTGGGGAATTTTACCCATACATTATTATCGCAATTGACAATAAAATGCACACATTATCTTCAAATAACTGCAACCTAGAAATTGTGTAATTTTACTTTGTTTTTGGGTTTATCCTTTATTAAAAAATGTTATAGCCCCGCATTAGCAGATATACCTACCATTATGATTATCAGACTTTGTGTCCGAAACTTCGCTCAAAAAGAGAAAAAAAAATAAAAAGTTTCCGTACCCTCCTATTTTGAGTTTTCAACGTTTAATCGTCGGTATACTTTATCATAAGTTTATTCCACACAAATTAGGATTCGACTTTTATTAAAAAAGTTATGGAAGTAAAAACAAAATTTGTACATCTAAGACTGTTGGCTGTGTGAAAAAACGGTTCAGCGGCAAGACACAATATTTTTATCGAATATTTATTATTTTCACTATCTACACGTTGGTCAAGTGATTTTCTCACGTTCAGTTATAACATTTCCTGGATGTCTGTGAATGTCCTTCTCGGACGTAGACGAGTTTTGTGATTTAGTGTGAAAACTCAAACGCTGCAACATCAATCATTTTATTAACCTGTATTTTTCCACGGTGACATCTCCAACGACGGTCGATTGTTGTTATCTCTCTTTTCGTCCGTCATAGTTGTCTGTGTGTACGTCTTCGTCGAGTTTGTAAGACGTATACTAAAGCGTTTAAGACGTTGACCGCAATGTCAAGATAATATAATCATTTTTTTTTTTTTTTTTTGCTGCTGAATATCGGTCACACGTCAAACCGAATCGTTAGCGTTTTTTTTTTCTCACAACGTCGAAGTGTTATTTTTCCTTTTGAACCGTCGAAAAAAGGGCGATTTTAATTTTTATATTTATATTTAAAAAGAACGTTCGAATAATATTATGTATAATCCGGTTTTTTTTTTTTGTAAAACGAGCAAATGAGATAAAAAGGTAATAAAACCATTTTCAGCTACTTTCAATAAATGAATTAAATTATTTAAGACATTTAAGATTCAAAATTGATACAGCTCTGGAAAATACTAAAAAACGCAAATATTTAGTAATTTTACAATATTTCAAGAGGAAACACTAAAAAAATGACAATTATTTTAAGAGGTTTTGAGTGTCTTATCCGTAATGAACCTCTCTGTGTATTCATACATATTATAATTATAATGATAATGATAATTATGACAATTTTGATGACATTGATAATTATAATAATAGTAATGATGGTTATGATGATAATACTGATAAAAATGATTATGCCTATGATGATGATAATATTATGATAATTTAAATTATATTATTAATGGTAACAATAGCTTTGTTCCAGCATAGAGTTGTCCCATATAAATTTGGGATTAATTTCCAAAAAAAAATTATACAGACTTGGGTATGTACGGACTTGCTACATGAACAAATCGGTCGGCGGTATATACAAAGGGTATAGTGGCGAATCGTAAACAGAAGTCAAAATTAGCCCGTTACTCCGGAAATATATACCTTCATTAAATTATACTACCAATTGTTCTGAGATACTCTCAAGGTTGTATGACGTAGAAGACCTTTTAGCTAATTAATTTCGTTTCATATCCAGAGCATACGGTGTAATGAAATCGAAGGTCGGAATGATCCTTAACGTGTTCAACCCGTGTTTTTTAGATCATCAATTGTATTATACCTATATAGAATATTATAAGAAATAAGAAGAATATTGAATATTTAATTCCTAATAATGTTTTTTTTTTTTTACCAAAGGAAACCCAAATAGTATCCTGTATTTAGTATATTTATGTACAATTTATTTTGTTCGTTCACAGAGCTAAATGTTACGCACTAAAAGACATAAAATAATAGTTACACTGTACAGTACAGTTTTATAGAGTTGACAAGAATGACAAAAATGTTGTAAGCAATTTTATTTTACAGACTTTATAATTATATCTGCATTAAATATGACAATATTTTTACTTCTTCGGTAAATAAAGAATTCATTTTAAAGCATAATTTGGTATTTACCTTTCTATATTTATCGATAGATTTGTTTTTTAAGAACATTTATACACATTGACTCGCTTGTTATTGTTATTTCAATCTATATCACTTTTGCATTTATAACATTGTGGCTTTCCACACGTTCAAAAGATCAACAATGAAGTATTCTCCAAAAGACAATTTCCTTAAAAGATTTAGATTTATAGGCTAAGCCTTGCCCAGTGCACCACACGAGTTGGCCGATGGATTTATTATTTAAATATATATTCAGTAAACCGTTATGTATTAAAAATTTCATTTGATTTGATTGAAGGCAAACTATATAAATAGTAAATACTAATAGACTGAAAATGGTTTTAATAATTATATTATTCAGAAGTGGTTATTTTTTATGAATTCGAAAGAGTCAACGTGCGATGGTGATTTCAAAATAATTAATATGAAAAACTATTTATTTTTTAATTGGATCCATACATTCTGCATATATATATATATAATGGCTTAGACTGTCGACAACAGGTTATATTCGCTTAAAATCAATCTCATTTGAAACGGTACAATTACACATGTTGTTTGGTATGTTAATGAGAGTTGAGAGTTCTAAAAATAAAAATAGTTTACTCGGTTTTCCGTGCCAAACACACGGTTTGCGGTTAACAGGTTCAGTTTGAAAAAACTATTTGTAATTTTTTTTTTCCTACAGAATTGGGGTGCCATGGAAACCGACAGAAACGATCCACTCTACCGTTTTAAATACGGCGGCGGTAACAACATCGTCCAACCCAAACCACAGTTTAACAACATTCATCTGACTAACTTTGTGTGCGATGGATCTGGAAGGATGTATCCGGACCCAGAAGCCCAATGCCAGGTAACATACAAAATAATAATAGTACATCTTGTTATTGTTGACCTAACTAACCCTGTTATATTAGTAAGATATACGACTGAAAAAATAGTAGTCTGGTTATCAACAAGTCACCATTTTTAGTACATTATTCTCAATTTGAAAAGATAATGAAATGTTGCCATTAAAGTTTCAAAAGTTGTTATCAAAACAACTAAGTTGAGAGAGGAGTAAGAACAAAAATAATTTCTTATTAAACCCTAGCATTATCTAAGTGGTATCTAACCTAACTAATGTTTGTCGCTTTGTATTACTCTCCTTGGCTCGAAATAGTTAACTGCTGCTACATGGTTTGAATAACAAATATAGTGATGTCATTTTTTTTTTTTTTTAATATTTCAAAAGTTTAAAATACTATTACAAGACATTCGACAACAGCTGATTTGGTTGACGTTGCCTTTGACGGGCGAATCAGATAAAAACTATAGCGAAAAAGTATTACAATAAATTGTCTCTGTTGCTCGCAGAATAAAAAATTGCTCTTTGAATGAGATTACGTGGAACTGCTGCGGACACGATGCTCATTATTGTTTGTATTTTGTTTAAGTGACAAAGTTTCAAGTTAAAAAAAAAAAACAAAAACGAATCGTAAAACTTTGACGAAAAATATTGCTTTACCTCAGTCCAATGGAAAACGCAAGTATTTTTCTAAAGCCACGGTTTTATTCTAATAAAACGCTTTAAGTTGTTTTCTTAGTTTAAATCATCTTGTTATGCGTTCGCATAACACAGGGGAATTAACTTTTACAAAAAAAAGTTTTTCACCCGGCAAACATTAATTATTGTTCAACCCAAATGTGGTTATATGATCAAATTTGACTGTAAAGATAGAATTTGGTTTGGAATAAGGGTCATTGCACGTACAGGGTAGTAATTCATTATAGATAAGACACTCAATTTTTCTCAGAATAATTGCAGTTATGTAGATTTTATTTAAAAAAAAAATGGTTTATGTGAAATAACATAAACCATTTTCACTGGTCAGTAACCAGTTTTAAATGTTAAGTAATGTGCGCAGATCAAAATAATAATTTTTTTCAAGACCTCTCCAATTTCGGGACATAAAACGAGAAGGTTTATTTTGTTTTCACTTACCTTGTAGTTAATTTTTATTGGCTTACATCTTTAGCCGTTGACTTGGCAAGGACTAAATTTGAATAAAACAAAAATAATAGTACTTTTTAGGCTATTTTTGATTATAATAATAATATTATCATGACCAGAGTTGGGCTGGGAGACTCCGCATGCACTCAAAAAGACAAAAACAAAAGATACCGGCTCACTTGGGCCACGATAATAATTGGCCGTTAAGTTTTAACCAAAATATATCGGTCGATTACGTGGCAGAGCTATTCGGTTAGCCCAGGGTTAATCGCTCTGGTGTATATACATAAATAAATTGGCTGCACCGAGTAACCTAACCGCACAACCAACCGTGTACAACCCTAAGTCGACCTATCGTTTAATACAATAATAATACTGCACGGACAATCGAACGGCTTTTTAATCGGATTTACCTAACATAATAGTACAACACCGGCAGCTTTTGGCGTCGCCATCCAACTCTTGTTAACGCTCGGTTTGATAATATTATCATGGGTATTTTATCATCCGTTTACCGTGTGTTCGACTGATATCAACCCTTTTTGATTATCACAGGCTTACAAAATATTGCGCACTACCCCGGTTCTCAACGTGAGTGGCCCCGGTAACCTCGAAAACACATTAAAATAGGTACCATATCTTCTAAACCCAGCAGTTTCATTTGAACCCTGTTCCCCGCAAAGGGGTGGATTCATTTTCTTTGTTACGCTTTTTTTGGGGTGAAGTTTTAGGGCTTAAGGTCTGTAAAATGAAACCATAAGTAGGATCTAGAGAGGAGCTATAACATAAAAAATGTTCATGTAAATCTGTAATCAGACTTTTTTTTTATAATAAACCCCCCCCCCAAAAAAATGTTGGAAAATTGCGCTTTGGCCGCTGAAATTTCTACGTAGCCTAACCGACGGTGGTGTCAAATTTTTACCCGAATTCAAACATACTAATATTTATACTTAATTTAACAATATTATGCCAAAATTGAACGTACCAGAACCGTAATCCCATTCGATTTAGTTAAAAAATACACTCCCTGGTTGTTTTTGCTGTGCTCGGTTTGGACTGTACTTGGCTTATTTTTTTCTTTTTAATTTTTGAACTCGCGACAGATATTATAATCGTGTCTTATGAACCTTGGCGGCAAAAACACCAGCCAAAAGGCTACACGGGACGGTATAAAGTGTCTCCGGGTTTCTGTTGCACTCCTCGGCTACAATAACGAAATCATACCCGTCGAAATTATTCCTTTTGGGACCGACTTAACGTTCTGGAACGGAGCCATTCCTTTCGTATGAATATGATAAAGTGCCCGAGCTCGGATTGTCTGTTAAAATAATGTTGGCAGCGGTCTGGATTGTATAAATGTCCGGGCTTAGGCACGTAATACACCGTGTGCGTGTAAAACTACACCGAAAAAAAATAATAATAATAAAAACCAAAGCCCTTCTTATTTTTCACGTCCCCGACTCGAAACGTATTTCATTATAATATTTCTTCAAGCTAAAAAAAAAAAAAAACCCCAAAACAAAATACTTAACATGACGTGCACAAGTTGTTTGTATTTTTTTTTTTTTAACAACTTAATCTTACAGGCAGTGGGGATTAGGCAATTTATATACACCAACGCGTATGTAGACATTAATTTGCGCTAAAAAATAATATATTAACTGTCATTTTAGTATAAGTTCTACTTTAGGGTACAAAATCAGATAGAGACGAATCAGATTTGAATATTATTGATGACAAAGTGTTTTCATCTGTCATAAAAAATTAATAATAAAAAATACAAAAGAAAATAATACACAACTAGAAAATATGTATTAACTTTTCATTTAAAAATCACAAAATGACTTGTTATTTGCCATATAAACTTTGTATAATACATTGCATTGTATTGTATTCATGTAATTGGTCCTTGTATACCTTCATTTAATTGTTATTGTTTATACAATGTCATTGTTTTTTTAATAGTATTATAGTATTGATTTTTTAAATGTACTAGTTGTAAATTGGACAAAAGCCCTTATCATACTATAAATAAATTATTAAATGCCTATCGCGGATAGCTCAAAAGATATTGTTTTATTCTTTACTATTTTTTTTTTTTTTTTTTATGTGAAGTACCGTTATTTTTAGTGAGTTTGCCGATCAACGAAAAGAAATATTAACCCCGAACACTTAAAATTATTTTAACTTAATATTAGCTGTTTGCTATTTGTTGCAAATCTTTAAAAGTGATAAACGCAAAATTCTAGTACACATTCAACCGTTTAGGTGCGATACATTTTTGAAATATTCAAAATGATATAAATCCCAGTACTAAATGTTACAAATAGAAACAATTAAGATTGAGGTAGGCAGTTCATAATCGATATTACCTACTGTAGTCTGTAGTATTTAACGGGTTGCTATATTTTTTCAGTGTTTAATCTCCAGTTAATCGTAATCCCCACATTTGTTTTTATTATCATTTCATGTATAATTTTTGTTTCAGGTATTTCACTTATGCCATTACAATGGATTCAAAGAGTCGTTCGTTTGTCCAGAAGGAACGCGGTACGATGCGACCGTTCAAGAGTGCAGGCCTTGGTACTTAACTCCTTGTTTGAACGGCCGCGGACCGTATTAGGTCGACGAAATTAACAAATATTAATTTCCCATAATGTCTTCGATTTCGCTGTTAATAGAAAACATAAGAAAAAACAAAAATGTAAATAAAAAATAATAATTTATAATATATAATCTTAAAGAAGCGTTGTTCGAAAACGAGATAATATTATTGAAGTTTTAAGAAATAATTTTGTATTTTTTTTTTTTTTTTTACAAATCACTTTTTACGTCGAGACCTTCGACGCGGTTGCCATTTAAAAGTTTATCATAATAATTATTGACATACTATTTTATTTATTTTTAATTTTTTTGTACATTATACTTATTATACTTGTTGTTGTTTGATTTACAATCTTACTATTATAATTTGTAAGTTGTTTTCACTAGAGCAAATCAAAATTAAATTTCTCTTATTAATATTATTAAAGTATTTTCTATTTTTTTTTTACTCGTGACACATGAAGTATTTAAATTATTATAAATTAACAATGGTAATTCTCTGGTCAATTTACTAGGGTATGTTGGAAACGGGTTTTTAGTTTTTTGCTTATTTAATGTCGTAAAAATGAGTTTTAATATTTAAAACTTCAAACTAAATTGATTTAATTGCAAATAAATTTTTTTTTTTTTATTAAAACCTTGTCTCCACCATATTTTAGTAAATTAAAAAAATAACTCAACACAAATCCTTGTTAAAATTTTACTTTTTGTTTTACCAAATATAATTTTATCTTGTATGTGGAAAATATAGTATTATAAATTAAATTAAACTAACGACTCTGACCCAAGGTATGTGTTTCGTGCTCGTTCATGTCTGAAATTTAATTTGCAATTTTATTATGTTATTCTAAACTCACAGACTTTTCAACAGTACAATAACATTTTTTTTTAAATCATACTCTTGCCAGTATCGTTGGAATATTTTCCCCTTTGAATTCAGTAAATATTTGATATTTTTATGGAATAAAATACATTTATATGTAGGTAATATAATATATACATACATTTGATTGTCATAATAAAAATAAACACACACGATTGACATGTGAACAAATACCAAATAATATTACCTGTATTATTTTTTTTAGTTTTTGTGAAATATATGTGAAAACAAAATGTTTTTATTAAACCAATCCTTTTGAACTCAATCGAATCATGAAACCATTTCATACATCTCAGTATTCCACTTTGTATTTTTAACATCAAAATGATAGCATGCAACGTTTTATTCGCAATAGTCTATGTACTTTTGTATCTTACTTTCAGAATCTATCAGAATTGTTATTTTATGCTAAGGCGTTGTGATGACCTTTGTTCATGCGAGGGTGACGGTTTTCTAATATTATCTCAACCGGATTACTTATTAAAATATTTAATAAATTATTTATTTCAGCTAGTCGTTAAGAATAAAACAAATGCTACAATATAATGTTGCTCGTTAATCATTATAAACGCCTTAAAATATTACTTTTCTTACCGTTATTGTATAAGCTAAATGGAAATACACGTGTTAGGCTCTATCGTTGTATATAGCTTGATAAAGTACACAATATAGTTAGTAAATAATATTGTGTATTTGTTATTGTATTAATTAACTGGAATCTGTACAGTAAGCAAAAAAGGCGCAAACGTGGCTAATAAATAATTCAAATAAAAATATTTTTTAAATAATTATATTGTTCATCTTTTTTTTTTTTTTAAACTAGCAGATTCATAATAATGCAAAATATCCGTTTCTATAGTACGTTATACAAAACTTGAATTGATTAAAAATAAGGTAATAATAATATGTGATGATATTGACAACTATTTTTGTATGCTAGAAATTAACATTTTTTTTTTTTTTTTTACTTGGATTTAATGTTCTACCACGTTTTTTTTTTTAAAAAAAAAGATAGGTAATTATTTTTCACATAATATAACCGGCATTTTAATTTTAGTTATTTGACCCATAGCAAGGAGTTACCTAGAACCAGACTTAAGACTATACTTCTTAGAGATTTGCAGTCGTTATTGAAAAAAAAAACGCTTTGAATGGGTTTGATTTAATTTGTAATTCACTTGACTGACTCTCAAAGAGTGTAATCAATAAATATGCTGTAGATATTAATATATTAAATGTATAAATGCAGTAAAGATGTTAAAGCGAATAAGGACTTTTAAATATTATAATAATATAATCAAGTCGTCTGACGACTGACTCTCTTACAACAATTACCGTTATCAATTATTTTGATAGGTAACAATTTATTTACAAACAATAATAATATAATATTATTAAACACATAAGTCATACACAATGTTATTACCGAAACGGTTTCAATGTAATTAAATCGCACGCATAAACGACGATACACATTGTATAATTTGTGAACCAATAAAAATGCGCGTACGCCAATAAATTAATTAATATTAATAATGAGAATAATTACATAAAAATGGTAACCAAACAAAAGCCAGCGTTTACGGATTATACGGGGAAATAAAACAATAACATAGTATCTATGGACGTGTAGGCATGAGATAATATGATAGTGGTCAATGAATAATGTGTTATGTGTGCCCATTATCTTTACGTTGGCAACAGGCCGGCGTTTTTGAGTATGTGGTAGATCTGCTCCCTGGGGATTTTCTCCGTGTCCCTATTCACGGCGTGTTCCTCTCCCGGCCCGAACCAACTGCTCTTGGCCAAGTGTTCGGCTATGCGTGGATTTTTGTAGAACGCGTTTTGCATGTGTGCCGGCAACAGAGATTCACGTTGTAGCGCTGCCACCACAATGGGGTTGGTGGGTTTCACCCCCATGGCGTTGTGCTGAAAATCATCAAGTTTATACATAACGACAATAATTAGATCAAATTATCACGTTGTAATTTCCATAGCCAAGTACTGTGGATCGTAAACAAAAGTGGCGAGGATAACATATTATGTAATCAGTTTTTTTTTCTATAGAAATAATCAATAACATATCCCCCAGTGTGACCAGTTGCCCGATATTAAATTATCAATCGAAAACGGCTATTTCTAGACTAAAATAAATTACAAGAGATTATCCAGAGATTATACACTGGAGGACACCCACGTGTAAGAGATAAGAAGCTGATAAAAAATAAACAATAAAGATCTACCGGACGCGCCGAGGTGATCAAATCATACATTAGTTGTTTCCTTGAAAACACACTTGGGCATTTTTTATTCGAATAATCTCTTTATTCGATACTATTTAAGACATTCAGCGGTTATTAAGCTAGGGTGTGAACAGACAAAAAGCCCACATGATTGTAAGACCAATACTATCGCAGCTCCGTAAGTAATATGTCTCAAGTTCGGGATTAAGTGTATTCTACACTATAGAAACAACCGAGAAATATACTGAAATCAATTTGTGCTCTACGAAAATGAATGTCACGATTTTTAAACATCTCATTCGGAATCCGTTCAAATAATATAATATTTCATGTACTCGACATCACAGATGGCAATTTCCACGCGCTAAAATCAAATAAATCTAATATTTGTTCACGCTTAAGTCACGTGAGCGTGACTTTATTTTAAATATATAAACGTCAAGTAAATTTTCAACGAGCAAGGACGATTCACGGTAGGTAGTCACTGATATTATGGCGACGGTGTGTATCTGTCGAAAAGAGAAGAGTGACATTAGATAATAATAATACAAGATGTACTGTACAAGGAGCGAAGACCAAACGGGCAGACGGTGTGAGGTAATCGAAGCCGAAAATCATAAATAAATCATGTCGATTCAGAAAAGAAGACCATAAAGATTGTTTCAACAGAACCGTCTGCCAAAATCGATACAGGCGGCAAGACCCGTCGGCTGTGGACTTAATATTTCTTTAACGTTGTCCCGAAGATATAATTCGACATCCAGTTTCTATTGAATTTTGATTCGTCAGTCTTGACACGTTTTCAAGGCGTCTCGTTCAGACCCGCAGACCGGTAGTGGTAATAATAATAAACATCGGTAATTATTAATTGGATTCCAGAGTTATGTAGCCCAAGGAAACGGTAGTGAGGTATTTTCACCGGAGCTGACCTCTGACACGGCAATCGGATACCGAAATATCGTCACACCGTGTCCAATCGAGCATAAACAGCGCAAATGGAAACACCGGCAACAACACCGGCTATATAGAAGAGGAAATTCGTTTAGAAATCATCGGAAACACCTTAAACTATGGCGGTCTACGTGATTTATGCGGTTGTACGTCCAAATGCGGAAAACTAAAATATTACTCACCTCGTGTTGTTTGTTTAATATGATTTTATTAACCGGCACAGCTAGACAACGACGTCTCGCTTATAGGTGTTATAATTTATTAACCGTAGTGTATTCGTTGTGTAATAAACACTATCGTTTATGAGAATCGGTTATTTATAAAAAAAGGGATTAGTCACAATTTTGTTGAAAATTACTTTATTTTAAATAAATATGTTCTGTGGCGTTGCCGAAAAGCTGTTGTAAAGAGATGGGGATGGGGTTTCATTAAATCAATACATTTTTGAGAAACTTGTACATGCTTATGACCCCACTCTAGAACTACATTCAGCCCAACTTTCAGATCTTGAGTCTTATAACTATGCTCGAAAATAAGAAGCCAAAAAGAAGTGTGCACCTGTTCTAGAGGAAAGGGTTTATGATTATTTTTTTGGTTTGTCAACGTTTATCGATAGCGCTCTATCTTAACAATATAATAATTTCAAGTTGAAAAATATGTACATTTTTTTGCTTTTTTTATCAATTTTGAAGGGAAGAAAAAGGGTGTACTTTTTAAATTTTGAGCCAAATATAGTACTTTTGTGTCTAATGACATGCTCCGCCCCCACCATGCCCCGCCCTTAATTTTTGATCACCTCAAACGCTATTTTAAAAAATAGCAAAATTAAAAACTTACCGGCGGGATAATGGCATTGTTCAGTATCGGTGGACCCAAATGGTTCGGTGGCATTAAAATAAGCGACAGCTCTTGCGGTCGAGCCGACGCGAACACCGTAAACGTCGCCATCGATAGCGCCAAGGACAATGTCAGTTGCATGTTGGATCTTGCTGCCTGCGAATCATAGAGCAAAAAAATTTAATTAAATCAACCCAAACCGGATGCTGTTCACTTAGCCGTTGACGCGGCACGTGTATAAATCCCCGGGCATCCGGTTTGGCGACCGGAAGAAGGAAACAACAGACGTGCATTTCCACGACCGCACCCGAGATTAACCCGGTACAAGATATTGTGTTATTGAAAACGCAAGACGATTTATTATTTTCCACGCAGCGACCGAAATATAGTCTGGCCCACTAGCTAAGAGTCGTTAATTTTCTCTCGACGGCTTATGTTCTTGTATATTTGGAGTTTTGCCCCACACTCGTTTAAACACCGTTAAACGACATCCTTTAAATACCGTCGGCTTGATGGTAGCCTTCATTAGGGTCCGACCAAAACAAAAGTCAGCTTTTAGTCGCGGGTCAGACGCGGAATGAAATAAAACCAAAAAAAGTTTAATCGATGTTTCCGAAATCTTTTTAAAATACCAAGGGTCTTAAATATTATGTCTATTTCTGGCACGTCGACAGTCCCCTCCCGTATTCCTAGACACTGGAAAGTGAAAGTGATGGGAGGGGGGGGGGAGGCGAAAAAGGAGAAAAGACTGGAACGAATAATGTAAAGAGGCGGAAAACAAGAGACAAAGGGATGGGCGGGAAGAAGGCTCTCTTGCGTGGCAAGCCTGAAAATGTGTTTCTACGTATTCGTGTCAATAACATTATTGTCGCGCAAGGGTTGTAACGACTGGCGACCGTTCTCTTGGCGACTTAGACTCGTTGGTAAAAAAAATATATATATATATAATAAAATATGCATGTATATATATATATATAAAATATTTAACATAAATAATATAATATACCGTACAGTTTTTTTTTTTTTTAAACGGAACGCGGGTGGAAGTTTCGTACCAATTCGAAAAGGAAACGTTCGGGGGAGAATAAAAAGAAAAAAACATTTTGGCAAAAAAAGCATCCCCCCCTCCCCGCCCCTTTGTGATACGAACTAATTTGGTATGCAAAGGGGCGCGTTAAACGTTCGGATGTAAAAATTTAGGGCGCACACAATTAGCGTTTTGCGTAAATAACCCAGTAAAGTCCCTTTGCGACGAAACGCATAAAAAACACACGTTCGGGCCGGCATAACGATGAATACAAAACGGGCCGAGGGGAAAAACCCGACAGCTTCGGTCCGTGTGCTCGTAGCCATTGTTATTCCACAACGTGCAGTTGTCGAAAAATAACTGGGTCAACGACAAGTTCGTATCCGCCTTTAATTGATTGAAATCAGAAATGCGAATTGCAATTGATTGAGGAGGATAAGACGCCAGTCCTTTTCCTCGGAAAATAATTGTAATTTTCCCGTCTGCACTTTTCGACAATTGCCCCTGACACCTAAATTTTAAATTTAAGTGACTTTCCGAAACCCATAGTCGACAAAACTGATTTCGGCAAATCGTTCTTAATTTAAAAATGTGAATTGAATGTAATATGTCAAAAGTTGATAGAGCTCTGGGAAATAATTAAAAAAGGAATGACATTTAGTCATTCTGTAATATTTTAATATATTATAAGCAAAAAGAATTTCAAAAAGAACTCAACTACAAAAATTGCAATTCATCACTATAAAAATAACATTCAATGTCAACGACTTAATCCCGCCTCCCTCCTGTAAAGCAGGACGCCACGCCGGCCATTTCTAAGGAGTAAAGTATAGGCAATTTTTCGAAAAATCTTAATTTAGAGTTTGAACTATAATGTATACTTATTAATACAGTGTTAAGGATACTTTGTTGATTGCCATTTTTTTTTTGTCAGACTATCATAGTCATTTCTATAGGATAAAATACAATTTTTTTGCCATCAAAACTGCTTTGCGTGGATTGATTTTTCTCAGGCTTCATATATAGTTAAGGAAAGAAATTCATACATATTATTTATGAAAAAATTATCTGTGTTCCATCATCCGTATTTTTTCGATATACCTAATACAACCAACACTATATCATTTTTAAAAAGTAAAAAAAGTCCTTTCTTAATAATTAATTATTCATTAACTGGTTGAAATATTAAAAAAAGAGCGATGGTAGAACACAGACAATGTCGTTGTCTATATTATGTAAAAATTTGGTTTCTTAGATTTGATTATAGCCCTTGTAAAATTAATCCGCGCAAGGCGGGTTTTTTGAAGAAAATAACGGGTGTGTGACGTCCTCTTAATGAATTATTCTATCTGGCTGGTTTTTTGTTTATCGAAATTTAATAGAAAAAAAAAAAGATTTTCATTTAAATATTCAGTTTCTTGTAATTTAATACATTTTCCCATATTAAAAACACTTTTTTTACATACAAAAAAAAAGCAAAATATCAAAAATCCGTTACCTAGTAAAATACTTTTAAGAACTCGAATATCTTTACAGAATTGAAATCGGACCGTCCTAAGTAGGCGTAATTTTATATAGCTTTTCGATATAAAACGTCATAAAAAACCAGACCGTTTTCATTCCCTTAATGGTAAAAAATTCAACAAATAAAAAAACGTTATCTGGCTATAAGTGGCGAAAACTTACTGGTACATTTTTATCAATATTCGTATCGAGGCCGTGAAATGAGGAAGCAGGACGGACGGAAGCAATGAAAATATACTTTTTTTTTTTTTTATTAGAAAACACAAACGGCTTTGGACTGGCAATCCTATTGTCGGTCCCTTTTGCGCTTCTTTCGAATTTATCCATATTTGGTCGCACCGTACTCGTGAACTTAGGCGTTTGGTGGACGGGGGGGGGGGGAGGTGCATTGCATTTTGGTATTACATAAAAAAACGCAGGACATAATCCGAAATGATAGTACCTAATTATCGTGCCGCCGATTTCGGACCGAGACCGGTCGAGCACGTGCTCGCACTGCAAACGCGTTATTACTTATTATTATCTAACGGTCTTAATGTCTAGCCGGCCAACACACGGTTGTAATACACACGATCCAACACACGACACCGAGCAACGGTGAAAATAAAAAAAAATAATAATCGAATCGTTGAAACGGATAACAGTCCAACGTGTCTCGGCACCGAATTTCAAGGGACCTTCGCGGATTTCTTGGGCGGAACGCTTGGGTGCCATTGAACTGATTATAATATAGACTTGTCATTGTTAATTGTCGTACGCGAATTTACCGTATCGATGAGTGTCCCTACGGCGATTAGTTCAAAAGAAAATCCGCATCGAAGCTAAAACCAAAGAAAGGACAGAGCTGTGCCGCAGGTCAACGCATAGTGGGCAAGGGGAGGTCGCGGGTCAACAGGAATAATAATTAAAAAAGTTGAAAGCGAAACGTTCAAATAAACCGTCTGGATGCATACCGTCTTGTAGATGGTAGAGATACGGAATATATGTACACAGAAGGGTCATTTTCAATGTAAACAAAAAAGTGACGGACTATATTTGTACGCGTAAAAAAAACTATGAAAAGGCACTTGCCATCTGGACATGTGACCTTTTTGGCCCAAAAGTATTGTTATAAAAAATTCTATTGTAGTATTACAGGTTGTTGCCGATCTTGGCGAACGTGATTACAGTTTATTGTAAAATACTTAATGGTCTATTTTTTTATAGTTTATTGAACTGATAAAACTTAATTGTTTATCAGTAAATAAATCGCTAAATACAGAAATGGCACATGTCCAGATTTTTTATTTTCAAGACAAAACCCTTAATATTTCTGGAAAAATATGTAATTACAAATTTCATGTTATTAAATAGTATAGCATTAGATATCATACAGATGTTTTTACAGTTGTTTAAAGAAAATGTATAGTAATTTGATGCATAAACGGCATATAATGTCCATTATTGATAGTATTTTATCATAACCATATTCCATACAAATTTGAAAGTAATTCTTTCTGGATTTTGAAGGGGAAAGGGTGAACTTTTTACACTATTGGCACATTAAATTATCTTCCGGGTACGATTTTGTATCTATAGAGTTGTTTACACGAACAAATCGGTTAGAATGAAAAATAAACATTTCACTCAGAAGAGACACCGTCATAAACTAGATCAGCTGCTGATAAACCGGATGGACAAAGTATTAAATAAACAAGTACCGAAAGGTTAAGGGAAACGGAAAGCGACAAATTGTATACAAATAAAGACTAAAACGCCAAGGCACACTCTGAAGTGTCTATCGAAACGATTTCAAATTAATTTTTTTTTTATGCCATAAAGCTTAACTTCTTCTCTATGTGGACTAAAAGACCCATTTTTTATTTTTGTTTTCAAAATTCTACTATAAGCGTTTACATTTTTAACCCTTTGAATCCTGAATTATGGTCCGGGCAAAAAAATTGTTTTGTTTAAAAACTTGGTATGTAGGGAGTCCTAAGTTTTCCTAAGTTTGGTTTATTTATAACTTTTAAGACTTAAGTTAGACGTGCATTTATAATGACATTCAGACATTGACGTTGGGTAAAACTAACATATTATGCCATTATGATAGCACTTAGGTGTTAAGGGTATATAAACCAAAATAACAAAATATTAACATTTTAAAACAATAACAAGTAACGCAGTTTATAACATATTATCAGTTATATATTTTCGAACATCGTCCGAACGAAAGCCATTAATAATTACCAGAAATGTATTATATTATATTATTACTATGGTAAATAAATTATACAAATTCTACTAGTAAAAGTTATTATTAGTAGTTGTTTTCGATAAAAAAAAATATGTTAAATATAGTTGAAAAAAAATCTGGTTTGAAAATATCATTGAAATAAAGTTTAATAGCCAATTAAATATCGGTAGAAAAAAATTGCATTTAAACGGCAAACATTTTGTAAAAATTGTAGTGTTAAATTTTAAGATGATCACCATATCACAATAATTATAAATTAATTAATAATAATTAAACAGGTTTCTTAACATTCGAAGATTGTTTTAGAATTAATAAAAATTGTTTTATTAGAGAACACTGTAAATCATACAATAAACCGGGCTAATATGCTATTAACAAATTCTAATAGGGTTTAATACAACCCCCGGATCGTTTTTAAGGTACAAAATATTTGTCATATTTTGTACGTCGAAAGTCGAAACGACAAGATAATTTCTTCAAAAAACTAACGTTACGTTATATATATATATTTTTTAATAAACAAAAAGTGAAATGGAAATAATAATAGTAACTTCGCGCATCCGGTTAAACTAGTTTCGACGTTATTGCGTGCGTTTAAGTCGACCAAACCGATTGAATAAGGTGTCTTCGGGTCGGCGTTCGATTTCCAATTACATATATTATTATGTATTATTATTATTATTATAGGTACCTACCTACTTAAACTATGGTATAATACTATAGTATCCGTTTGTAGTATCAAATAATTATAATAATACGGGCACGCTACTTAGACACGAGCCGCCCTGGGTGTTTGTAATACGGCGGTATTTGCCAATGGTTCGCACCGGTTAACGGATATTATATATATATATATATATATATATGTGAGCACAACATCTAATGTAGATCGTTCGGGTGATCTAATATTATATGCGCGCGTGATCTATGCGACGATAGACGATGTAATTATTATTGAACGCGAACGAACTGAAGCAAAAAATAAACAGGGGAAAAAAAAAGAAAAAAGAAAGTAATCATTTATAGGACATGCACCGGTTCCCCCCGGTGAGCTTCCTGCTTATTAGACAACCAGCCAGTTTGACCTTATACGGCAAAGAGATTCTGGTCTACGGGTAAGAAACAAAGAAGCTCCGTGCATGTTTGTATTATGTGCGTTGTAGTATTACGTTAGGTTCACCGGGTTTTGTCACGTTCACGGTACAGGGTAATCCGTTGAGGACAAGACACCGGTTTTCTTATGAGCCATTTGCAACATTTTATGGTTTACCTGTACACAAAACGTTTCCGTTTGAGATTGGTTTACATCAACACATGCTCCTCTAAACAGCTATCAAGCCGTACTGCATAAAAAATGTAATCAAAGCCTGATGTATGCAAACAGTACGGCTGACTTCAATATGAAGAATATTGTTTAGTTTATAAAATTTTAAAATCACCGTTATCCAGCCCGTCGGTATATTTTCAATGGGTAAACAGCGGTTCATTATGGAAAAGAAACTTATTGTCTTGACACTTTGTGTTATCTTACAATATTAAACAACATTCAGATTCGTATAATTATTTATTTTCTAAAGCTCTACACAACTTTTGAAACTTGAACGGTAACCTGTATATATATAATTGACTTTTTTAATTAAACATAATTTACTGTAAATATAGGGTAATTTACTGTATATATGTATATGTACAATATACTTTTTCAATATAATATTTTAAAATAAATAAACAAAAGGAATTTCAAAAAGAATAACTACATAACTACAAAAATTGCAATTATCTTAAGAAAAAATCAGTGGCTTATCACCCTTTATCAATCGTTCTGTTTGGCCAGATTTTTATTTTACAAAATTTGATAGAAAAAAACCTGTAAGGGTCTGAAACCATGCCCAGTTTTGCTGTGTAAAATTCACCACTGAAAAACAAGTTAATGTAAGTAAAACTGAAAGAACTTTAAACTAAATAATGACATTTATTCCATTCACTTGGATCACTAGCATAGAAAATGCGGTTGTTCAACCTCAATACAAAAAAAAAAATTAAATAGCCTGCGATCAAACGTACACAACAGTTGTATAACGAGCAAAAAAAAAAATATTATCATTTGGTGTCAATTACAACTAACCAATTTGTTGCAGACTAAAAGCTATAAATTCTAACTAAAACCAAAATCTGGTATATAATAAAGGTCAACAAGCTACCAGACTGCATTGATGTATGCATTCGAAATTCCCATCTCATTGAATAATACATTTTGCATTTAATTGAATCGATTAACACTGCTTGTACAAAACAAACTAAACCCCTTGGCATTTAACGTACTCCAGTACATTACTAATATGCAAGTCACGATATGACGTTATACTGTCAAATCCATTATTCAAAATTACAATGCTAAAAATATAGGACAACGATTATTTTCAAGTATATACATGAATAATATCGTATATTCCAATATATATATATATTTTAATCCATCGTTAAAAAAACATAGCATAGGTACCTACTGGATTTTTTACACCAAAGAAAAAAAAATCGTTAATGATACTTGCAGACGACGAGGAGACAATCGATCACAACACAAAAACTACACAGCACTTTTCCAAAAAAACGCGTAAGGCGCGATAAATATAGTTTTGTTTTTTTCCAACTTACAAGCAAAATCGACGAGCCCGGACTGTAAAAAAAAAAAACGCGACAAGGCGTTGTGGATGTCGGCACTCGAGTATTTGAACGAAAAATCACTTTCACTGTCGAAGGTTCGAGTCGTTTTGCCAGAAGCTGTGGCACAGCGGTACATATTGCGATCCTTGGCCCTACTTTCCACCCACCGAGCCTGTACTACCTCCACAAACCGACAAAAAATGATAACAAAATAATACCTACAAATTAAACCGACGCACGGTGGAGTTTTGATGTAAAAAAAGTTGGCCAAAAATAAAAAATATTTTTAAAAAACCATCACGATACTAATTTCTTAAAAGTTTCACACGTAAAAGGACGCACAAAAAACATTGATTTAAGTGCGTCTTACTCGACACCTTCCTGAATAATGTATTTAATAGTTTGGTATTTCACATTCTAGCAAATTATGGTAATATTTTCTATGTGTAAACGCCTATGTTTGTCGGGGGTTGTCAAGTAATAATTTGTGTTCCAAAATAAAGTATAGACACTGATGACGAGATCTGTAAAAATACATTTTCCGCCAACTCACGTGCCATTTAGTTAACTTCCACTTGTACTTCGGCGGTTAGGTTAGTATTCAGTGTTCTAATGTTAGCAACATAAGCCGTTATTTATATATAAAAGTTGGTTGTATAGATGTGACTAACACGGTTATTAATAATTGCACAGATAGTTAATCTATTCTTAATTGTTTTAACACAACAGTACAATAATAGTATTACATTCTAAATTATAAAAATATTTCATATATTATTTTGTTAAAATGAATTAAATAGTAAAATTTTTTAGAAAAAGTGTCTAATACATTTTGCTCGTATCAATTTGAAAGTATAAATAATCTAAAATTGTTTTTTAATTAATTTCAACTCCGTAAGACTCGTAAAATATTTTTGTCATGCCGATCGAGTAAATCAGTCCAATTAAAAAAAAAAAAAAAATACAGTGATAAAAACTTGAAAGTTGTTAGAAAACTGTTACATGATTTTGACAAGATTTGAAGTTGGTTTTCAAAAACCGGTTATGACTAACTTTGAAATAACGGAACCGAAATTTAAAAAAATATATTAACAGTATTATTAATATAAACCAAAATGTAAAAAAATAAATAAAACGATTCTGTGGATGAAAATAGAAAAATTGGTTTTCATTTATGTATTTATTGACTCCTAAAAGGGCAAAGAGTACAGATATTGAAAGTTATGCAACGAACAATAATAAAGTTTCGAATAATTGATAATGTTCAAATGCATTTAAATTAATTTAAAACCCATAAAAAATAAATATAAAAAAATGTTTTTTTTTTGAAAAGAGCTCTTTATTGTGGCTAAACCGTAAACGTGGCTTACAGCGAAAAATTGGTAATTTAAAGACACTTCCAAGACATTTTGGTTTTGGTTCGCCCAAAACTAATTTTTATAGAAAAAAATTAATTGTTCTTTCCTTTATAGAAAAGACAGTGATAGTCTGACAGAAAAAAGTTGCAACCAATAAAAAAAATCCTCATTATTGTACTCAAAAAAAAATAATTCGCCAAAGTTTAAGCTCTAAATTAGGATATTACCAAAAATTGCCTAAACTTAAATCCCTGATAAATGGATGGGTCGTTATTAAATAAATAATAAATCATCATTAGTTTTTTAATTAATTTAAAATTAAATGATTTATTGGGTGGTATTCAAAAGGCTTTGAAAGCATTTTTCGGTTCTGTGTTGTTGACGTTCACAGCTAAATATGTACATTTTATTATACTGTTTTCATGGTCAACATTTTCCAAGGAGCGTTCTGGGACTTTACAGCATGCATAAGAGTTATAAAACCGTGTTTAGAACTAGCGTCATCATCAAAATTGCTACATTTAATCGATGGACAGTTTCATTTTAACACAACGGTATGAATTCTTGGTTGGCTTGAGAAAACCTTTGGAAATAAAATTCGACCGTGTATTTGTTTCAACATGGACATAATACTATACGGTTAGCATAGTTTAAAACTTGGAAATGCCGGGATATAAGTTATTTTTTTCTGTAATACTTTAAACACATTTTCGACGAAACACAGCTTCTACGCTGCTGAAATTGTTCTGTGTATATTTGATATATATATATGTTGTAATACGAGGAAGAAAAAATAGTAAGTTCTTAAGACTTTTCTTGGATACCGCGGTTGAAACGCCGACAACATTTTAATATATGAGACGGCAACACGGTTTTCAACTTTTTCTAGTATTTTCCCATTTACATTTCAGACTAAAATCTATGTGGACCACCACTATACCAAAGTTTTGTTACACTATCTGTGTATGCTAAATAATAAATGCTATTGCAGGATATTGAATCTGTTCAAATGGAAATGTCTATCACAAGAATAGAAAAAAAAACAAGCAAAATGGTGTAAGGGCATAGTGGCGTAGAGGGGGAAGTCACAGGTGCACAAGAGCTATTATAACTCACAGTGATAAAATCTCTTTTCAATAAACACTCCATTGTTATCCTCACAATCAACCATTGAGACCACCTTAAAGAAAATATATTCATTATAATTTATAATTCACATAAAATAACATTGTTAGTTTTACGACGGAATAGATTAAATTTAATCTAGTTTTATAAATTGATAATAAATCGTGTAGTTTGTTTAAAGACCAATTTTTATTGCATTATTTCCACGAAAAATACTGTCTAAAAGTAAAATATCGTTCTAGTTTTATTACAAATTGCTTAGCTAAACAATTTACTGAAGTACTTTAGGAAATACTGAAAAATGTAATTTCATCAAGTTGTAAATAATAAGTAAAATGTTTACTGGGTCAAGGAAGTGCGATATAGACTTACGAACATAGTCCATTGTAATGCACTAATAAATGTACTCGTAACACAATGTATAATTATAATGTTATACCATAACATACTTACACTGGATTTAAAAAAAAAAAAATTGTAAAGGAATAATAGTATACTATACTATAATGTAAATATCATATGGTGCCTAATTATCGTACATGGATATGTTTTAGGGCTGGGGCAATTTAGAATAATTAGCGTCATCGATTTTCACCTACCGTTTACCCGACAGTGATAAGGAACAGCTGATAAATGATTATGAATAATAAAATAGTGATAAGAGTCATCTGATAAAGGTTTGTGATAAGAAACAGATGATAAGAGGTCAGTGAATAATACAAAATAAAATAAGGGTATAGTAGACAGAAGGAGATGAGGGAATTGACGATAGAGGGAGGGAAGAAAAGTGAAAATGAACATGATTCATTGTTTTTCTATGAAAAAAAATGAGAAAATATAAATTTTTTTTTTAATGTATTTAGTGTGTTTTGTAATTATAGCCACGTCAAGTATGCAATAATTAAATCTATTACTGTAAAACGTTATTAAGGCTTAAGTACAAAGTTTTTAAAAAAATGTAGGTATTACAAAAATAAAATAAATTCCGACACCATCAAAATGTGTTTAAATTGCTCATTGTGGTTTTCGCCAAATGTGGTGTAATAGAGAGCTGTTATTATTTTACTGTAGTACCATAGAAATTCAATTTATTAAATGTACTTTAAGAGTATATAAATATAGGAAAAAAAAACCATGTGAATCTAAGTATGTGTTTTTGGACTTTATAGAAAATGTTTTTGACTAACATTTTTTTTTTGTAACTAATTTTGAATTGATGCCGTTTTGAAATGGTCCATTGTTATATTATGTATATTAATGCAACGCCATTAGAGTGTCGTTGGACTTTATTCGAAAAGAAAAACATTAAAATTCTTGTTAAAATTCGCATTTGTAAACGTTAAAGTTGATATATTATTATCGTTGTCGGCTAAACAACCATAATTTCCAAAAAATCCATCGACCTTTGGCGGTTTAACTACTCCAAGTCTGATTTCCGCCAATAACAGTGTAAATCGCACAAGGTACAACGCACACTATCTGTGTGGTGGATCGTCTGCCCTCGGTTTCCACTACAAATAGAGCACTTTGGTAACCGGATTTTGTCCATAAATTATTTTACACATATTTCAGTCTGCCGGTCTCAAACGGTCGTTTGCAGACTAGAAACGCGATGGAATATTTGTGAAATAACTATGCAGGGGGGAAGGGGGGTCCAAGTCTCAATAAAAGTTTATTGCTTACATAAAATCATTGGTTTTTTTTCGTATATGTTTAATAGACATTATACACAGTAGACTGTCTGACCTCCGTCCTCCCCTCCATTACACCAATCGACAGTAGCCTAATTAAATAATAAATCCCTAAAATTTCAGATCCCTAGCTATTATAACTCTAAGTGCTTGCTCGTATTTATTTTTCTTGCATTTGTTTAGTTTGGGACATTTTCGTTATTCGTTTAAAAATTCTAACTTGAAAATTGAAACTTTTTCAACTTAAAAAAAGATTCCAGCTGAAATATGACATCTCAAAATCCCTCTCTTGATATATTTTAACGAAAAGTATGGATTTTATCAAGTTACATCCGATTGAAACCGTTACCAGTCCAAAACTTACAATTTTTGTTTATAATTACAACAAATGTTGATCAAAATAGCCTTATGTTTAAAATCAACTGAATTGAGTATGTAAAATAAAAGTCAATAAAAACAATTTCAAATTAATTTATACCTTTTGTGACGATATAAAATATTGTTCTTGGAACAAAACGTTTGTATCGCTAAAAAAGACATAATTTAACTTAAAAATATTTTAAAACTAAGTCAAACTATTATAATAACAATATATATATATATATATATATATATTGGTTTTATATAGCCTTTAAAGGATAACTTTAATCAAAATTTGTTGTAGTAATAATAAGTAATGTTAACGACATCTTAAAAGTACGTGCAAAAATGAATAAACTTATACATTTTTTAAACATGAATAAAAACCAGTATACTTCATAATAAGTTATTATATTTTACAATTTTACTTTGAAATGTATGTAAAATGTTCTTGAAATATAGTGTAAATACTTGATATCATAACAATAACATTATTTCTACCAAAAAAAACGTTGTACACAGTTAAAAAATTGTATTAAGCGCCTGTTTTGTCAACCCTCTGACAACCGCCCAACCTGTATATTTTATCACCATTAAAGTAAAGACCCCGTATAACGTCGAAAATGTTAAATATATATTCAAAGGCGTCAAGCTTGACGCCCTATCTGTTTTTTTTTTTTACGATCTACGGTTATAATCACACTGTATATTTTATACAACACTGTGTCTTCCTTTCTCGACAACGGAGGACCCACTGACCGCGGGTATGTGTCGTAACTTCATATTTTGCAACCGACTACTATAATACATACATACATATAATATATATTTATATTTATTAAATAGGGCGCGAGAGTTCATCCGGCCACAGTCACGACTTCATAATGTGTGTAATATTAAAAAGCCAAATCACACATTATAGCTGTATAAAGATAATGCGGACGAGACGTGACGCTCGCCGCGGCCTTGTGCCTAGTACAACGGGCAATCGTGGGCACTGTAATAATAGTAATAATAATAATAATAATTTTATAACTATTCCAAAGCTTAGGGTGTTTGGCGGTTTGCCATAAAACGTGATGAAAGTAAAAAAAAAAAAATAATCACCGCCTTCGAAAGTAAACAAAAAAATTAAACTCTTCCATACGATAATACCTACTTAATAGCTGTTTAATGCTCCTTAACGCCGTTGTTGCCGTCGAATGTGACACTATTGCATCATTTTGCAAACGCCAAGAAACTTATCGCAAACGGTAAGGTTAATCCGAAAAAATCCTAATGTTATAAAATATTTTATTGCTCTGCAGTATACAGGGTGATTCAGGAAAATATACTATGTAATACACTCATTTTCTGAGTTCAAATAGGTAGCTAAGAGCCACTTGTCTGTCATTATTTCAAAACATTTGAATAATTTTCGTGACACATCTAGTTAACATTCCTTTTTAATTTCGATCTGATTTTTTTTAAAAATTATTTATAGAAATTTAAAGTTGGTAATTTCGAAAATTACATTTTTTTGTTTTCCCGATTTGGAGGATAAAGGTTTGGAATTTTTAAGCTTTCCCATCCCTTGAATATAGTCATGCCGATCGAGTAAATCGGTCCAGTGTTAAATAAAGTACACAAAAAAAAACACCAAATAATTGTAATAACAATAATAACCGCTCTTTGTAGCTACGCATCGAAGGTAAAAAAAAAAAGTCTTCCAAGCATCACAAGCAGTTATTATCTCTCGGCGGTGGAGATAATAACATCAAGTATGCAAATATGAACATAATCTATTGTGGGCAATTTAATATTACCGTTGTGTTGGATCACAAGCGCTTCATACTCGTTATTATAAGTGCCCGCCATCGTACGGATATTATAATGTCTACTATGTAGTGCGCTGTTATACTAATATTTTACTCATTGCTGGATCCCAGAGCAGTTTAAAAATTGATTTGCCCGCCGTGCAATATTTATGATATTAGACGCTCAGTGCGGAAAATATCAAATATTATTCGCCTTTTTTCTTCGTTTTAATTTAAGAGCCGCCTTTTTTATTTTATGGCTTTTAATATAAAAAAACATTATACGTCTAATGCTCGTGCATGCATGAAATTACCTACTATTCTCGCGATCCGACAGAGCGATTAACGGCACACACACACACGCTTAACGTAATCCATTTTATTTTTACTATTATTATATTTTTTATCCAAGGTGGTGTCGGGGACGCGAGCAGATAAATATTGAATTCTATATATTATTATGTTGTCGTTGTAATACGTTGTATCTAGGTCACATTGCGCGAAAAGTGGTCACCTTCAGTATTAAAATAGTAATACGGATATAAAAGATTTGAGTGGAGACGGATAGGAGAAAATTGATAGAATGTGATGCCGTCGCTTGAGATTACAACACCGCATACTTAATTTTTTGGCCAAATCAAGTTGGCCACACTGTTTTATTTCAATTTCGACTGGTGGGCTCAGATTTAGTCAATAGATAACACTATAAGCGAAAAATTGATGACATAGTTTTTATGTTATTGAAACTGATTGTTTTTTGTTTTCCTCGAAAGTTGAAAAAAAATGAGATGGGTGGTGTTGCATCTTTAACGAACATGTATTGTGGTAGAGGTAGAGTATCCGAGGTTACTTACATGAGAAATAGCAAAAGGAAAATAATAACTAAATGGGTGGTTGGAGCAATGTTCTTTGAGACCAACTGGATTGGAATACCTAAGAGTTAGTTTTTAAATTTATTGATAGTGCAGAATTTAGTGTAAAACCCTTGTAACCTTTAACAGCTTAAAGGGCAAATATAAAAATTAAAAAAGTTCCCATGTAAAATTTTAAAAATGTAACATGCAACGTTACTCTAGGCACCCACCCTTCAATTATTGTGCAAAAAAGCATAATGTTACCTATTAAGTTCTGGAGAAATAACAAAATATATTCATTACAGTTTTTCGAAATATTTAGTCAGTTAAATTTACTGAATACAACACTCTATTGAACAACAAGTATTTTGATAATAATTATTTAACGATTCAGTAAAGACAGAGAAGTCGTTCAAGTTGAGACTATTTGAATTACATTGATTTACATTTATATTTCAATGATCCGGCGGTAGTAAAAAATTGGCTAAGACAAAACCATTTTTCTTTTCAGCAACGTTTCCTTCGTTTCGACTAGACACGAGTTTACGATGCAGCTGTTGTTGTAAGTACTGTTGCTGTTGCTGTTGCTGCTGCTGCTGTTGGACCTGCTGGTGGTTCTGTTGGCGCTGCTGGATGTGCTGCTGCTGCTGCTGTGGGATCCACTGACTCTGTTGGACGGTCAGTTGTTGTGGGATTTGCTGGTGGTCCTGTTGGCGCTGCTGGATGTTCTGCTGCTGCTGTGGGATCCACTGACTCTGCTGGATGGTCTGTTGTTGTGGGATCTGTTGGCCCTCCTGAATCTGCTGCAGCTGCAACTGCTGTCCTGGGTTCTGGTACGATTGACTTTGAATCGTTTGCTTGGTCGTCTTCGCGGACCTGCCGAAAGGGTAGTCCAACAAGTTGTCCACATTGTCCACGACTACGGTGTCGTCACATGGCGCTTGAGTCGAAGGAGGATCCGGCAGAGACGGAAGTTCAGTCGGCGGCGCAGCCGGAGGCGGAAGGTACATTGGCGGGGAAACGACCGCGACGTCTGCGCCATCGTCTCCTACGCACAGCTGCTTGTTTGGCAATCCGCTACCGGTCGCCGTTGGAGTAGGGGTAGCCCTAGGCCTAGGGGTTGATTCCACCATGCCGGTAAATAATAGTAGTAAAACACGTGGTGGTGCACGTTGGTGACTTGGGCAGGCACCGACCTAGGTTGCAGTGACGGATTTGGTGGCGGCGGCGGTGGCGGTGGTGGTGGTAGTGTGGTTGCTGGTGGTTGCGGTACACTTATACCGGGGGATTGGTAGAATTGGAACGGATGCCGGAAATGGTTTTCTAGAAAAAAGCGCGGCGGTTCGTCGTGGTAATAACCTCGAAAAGGTAAAGACGGCGCCTGGTAAAATTGCGGCAACTGCAGCGACCAAGCTCCAACCAGGGCCAATAGCGTTGTCGTGGCCACTACTGGAAAAAAAAACGGTAGACGATAAACACAAATTATAACAAGTTTTAAGTTTAAAATTTCCCGTCTTCATTTGTTTAGACATATCTTTTAATCTAAATTATGTCATAACCATAAAGTCTTAATATAATCTATTATAAGACCTGTATACGGTATCGGAATTCTGGGGTCTTGCCAAACCCTCGAACATCCCCTACCCCTTCGAATAAAAAAGAAAGATTCCCAAGTGGTGCTCCATGGTATATCTCAAATGACTCTTCCCACAAATATCTCCAACTGCTTACAATTACAAAACTTGCCAAATACCATTACCAAAGGTTCCAGAAAAAATTACATAGCCATTCAAATCCAAAAATATGTCCTAGCAACAGCCGACGTCGTATCAAAAGTTTTACTCAGTTTAATTGTTCGAATAGACTAGCATGGACTACGCACAAGACCAACAACTAGTTTTACATAATCGTACAAAAATAACGGGCGCGATAAACCATTATGGATATGTTTTTTTATTTTTGGGTTTTTTATTAGTTGATAAACATCTTTGTCTATTATTTAAAACGGCAAGCCATGTTGCTAAGGTATGTTAAAAAACAACGGCAAATAATTCGCGATTTTTTTTTTATTTCAAACGTGTACCGACAAAATGTCGTCAATCGTTGAAGTCCAGGAAAATATAAGTGAAATTTCAATCAATGACCCGGAACACATAGCCGAAAACTCAAATGAGACTGAATCAACACAGAAAAGTAATATTATCTTACTAATACAGTTATGAAATAAACTGTTGTAGAAACTACCGTTATACATATTAGTAAATTGTAAGTCATTTGTTAGGTTTTCAACAAATTTTAATAACCCACGCCAATTTCTATTTGCGAAAATTCTGGAATATAATAATGTTTCGGAAACTTATATGTACAATTTTTAGGTCGTTTCAACAACAACAATCATGGACAGAATGTATTTTAAATAAGGGTTTTTTTCCTTTTAGAAATGTCACACCCAAATCCTTCCTTGGCTTTTGTAATATTTTATTTTTACTTCGGATATGACTTGAAATTATTTAAAAATACTATTGAAATTTGAGTTATTATATTGATTTGTTACTAGTTTCTAAGCAACTGTAAAATGTTGTAACTTTTATCGGTGATTTCATATTAACCGCGTTTTTAGTCAACGGCATCTACTGTTTGGAAAAGTATCATTACAATACAAAATGTGCAATTCGCTTAAAACATAATAATATATACTTAGAAATAGAACTCCAAAAACAGTTATTGGCATTTATTTAACAGTAAACAATTCGGCGAACGGAATGTGATTCAGAATATTGGATAACAGATTTAATTATACATATACATAAAAAAAGGGTGATACTCAACTCTGTGACAATTATAGAGGCATTGCAAACCGGGTTTATACAGATATTTGTTTTGTTCGTACACTTCAAAAGGGCTTATGATTGCATCCATAGGGAAACTTTATCGAAAATGTTAATCGAATGTGGATTACTCCGAAAATTAATTAATCTAGTGAAATCCAGTACTATGAACTCGGAGATCAAAGTAAATATTGGTAATTGAATATCAAAGGGAACTTTAGTAAACTCAGGATTAAGAGGGAGGACGCTCTGTCACCTATTTTGTTCAATGGAAAAAGTCACCGGAAAAAGTCGAATAGAGCAAAAAGGAATTCATTTTATGATACAATTATTATATCCTACTATAAGCAGACCGGTTGTAAGGTTGTGAGGCTTGGATATGAGTACAACTAAAGAGCACAAGTTACTTATCTTCGAAAGAAAGATTTTAAGCAGAATCTTTGGACTCGTTTTCCATACAAATACAGGTGGGCAGGACACCTGTGAAGGAAAGTAGGTGATCTTTTGGGGAAACGACCATTAGGGTGTCCAAGTGCAAGATGGGAGGATCAGATTAGAAATTAAGTAAGCAGAAGAGATCCAGATTAAGATTGGAGGGAATCAGCTCTAGATGGTGAGAGGTAGAACCGGCTTTGTTCGTCAGTGTGATTAAGTTATAAAATTAGAATAAAAGAAGAAGAAGTAGTTATTTGCATAGCAAGTAAAATATATATTTTATTTGCTCGTTGTCAGTTGTAAGCTTGTTTTATTTTTATTAGTCAGATAATAATACCATATTATTTATTTTTTTTTTTTTATTAATTAAACGTTGTGTACTAGGTTTGTCGTCCAGCCTTAGGTCGAAAATCGGCTCGAAAAGCAAAGAAACAACGCTAGGTTCCATCAACGAAGAACATCAATCGGATTCTGCATTAGCGGACACTGTGGCAGACCTTAGCCCGCCGGAACGATCACAATTACTTCAGGCGGAAAGCCATCAATTTATTTTGGGTATTCTCCACAGAGTTTAAATAAGTTCGCTTGAGTCGTCCAACAGTAATTTCAACGGTGTCGGTTTAGATATGGGCGCCGACATAGAAAACCAAGTGATAGGCTCACAAGAAAGTAAAATGAGAGAGGCCTTCGACAGGAAACTGACGGCCATGGACGAGCGGATGACGTACAAATTACAAGAAGACGTCGACCAGTTGAGGTCCGACGTTAAGACGAAATACGAGCAGAAAATCTACAATTTCTTAAACGAAATCAACGATATTTTCTTGGTGAGTAACCGAACCAAGAAACTTTAGAGAAACGCTGAGAAAAATATTATAATTTATTTCCACCGTTTATTGGTCAAATAGTAATAATTTGTAATTTAAAAACGAACCACATTTATAACTTTTTTTTTTACCACAGTTCTATCGGATGACAATTCGGATAATAAATATTTGTTTTACCTTAAACTACAATACTGAATAATGAAGTCGTATAACAGTGTATAAATTATTCCAACAGAATTGTTTCATTTAATTATTTCGAATTGACAACGGTGTACACGTTTCAAATTCGTTGGGTGACTAAAACAATATCTCATCAATTAATCTGAAACCTTTTGCCAGTCATTGCGCATAAGATCAAAACGTCCTTAGCCTCTATAGGTATTATATATTCCATCCGCATATCGTACAATAACGATAGTATTGTAATAATCTTCGGTAAAACTCATATTCGCATGCGCACATGTCAATATTATAAATAACTTTTAAAATTGCAAATGTATATAAATTGACATAATACAACACATCAAGCATCTGTAAATCATGTTAAATTATGTATATTAAATAAAACTACTGTTTGTCGAATGGAAAACAATATAACGTCATCAGTTTGTTAAAAATATGTTTACTGTAATTTATAAATATGATTTTTGTGTAAAGTAAGTATAAAACGAGTGGCAACCGTCAGTTCCACTTCTACACTTCAATCATGTTAAAAAATACCTTGTATTTGTTGTTTTGTCAATTGTAATAAAATATGAACTTGAATTTGTCTAGTGCTCCCAGACAAATCATTGTTGACTTCCTCTATGGTGTATAATAAGACATTTATGTGACACTGTGACGATTGCAAACAACGCGCATAAGACAAATGACACACTTTGCACTTAACATTTAAGTTAAAATATTGTTTTATAAAATGCGAATTGTGTGCAAATGCAATTGGTTTGACAGAGCATAAATACATTCGGAAATGTCAATGTCGTTACCTGCAGACAAAATATGTTTACACTTGCAAATAAAAAACCTTTCACCGTCTGAAACAAGCAGATTAATATGAAATAGTGTTATTTTCGCTCTGTCTACACAATGGTTTGTAGACTTGTTGTCACCGATAACAGCTGGTAACTGTACGCTTTTAAGGGACATTCTTATCTTTGGTAGAGTGAACTCAAGTGCTACGGTTAAGTACACGGTCATGTATAGGTCGTTATTAGTCGAAAACGTGTCGATGTAACATCATCGTTTTTAAAACTTGTTTTTCATTGGCCAATTCCACGCAGCAAAACTGGACATGACCCCTGCCAAAGTCCCTTATAAATTTTCTTTTCCTATTAAATTTTGTAAAACCAAAATGGAGCCGAATAAGACATTTCAATTTAGTTTTTTATCATTTTTTTATAGTATCTTCGGTGTTTAAATTTTTTTATTAAAAATCAGTTTCCTATGTAAAATAATCTCGGCCTTCTGGAAAAAATAGTGATTAATTTTTTTTAAGTAAAAATGTCATTCAAATTGAGTTTATAATCTAAATAATTGGATTTTCGTGTTGCCCAAAATTTGAGAATTTTTCTAATATTTTGTTCAGAAAGTTGAGATAAAATGTTACATAAAATATGTTTTAATATATTAATATTATCGCTCGCCATTTCTTTGGTAATTAATTTGAATGTAGTAAATTTTAAAAAGCCTCTCTTAAAATTAATACATATTCAATAAAAATATGATTATTTACAGGCATATTTGCAATGTATTATGAATAAGTAAACGAAATATTCTCTCATCCAAAACAATATACTCTAATACCACTGATAGACAAAACCAGATAGTGCACACCTTATTAATGCAATGTGATAGCTGAAAATGTGAACAAACCAAAACGGGTAGAAAAAAAATTCCTTGTGACAAATTATGTTCACTGAGCATCACTGCATTTTTAGATTGTTATCGCCGATATATATTATAGTAAAACGGCGTGTACAATAATTTAATTTCTAGAACGTAGTCGCACTGAGTCGAGCAGGGTTTCAGCGCTGTTGTCAGTCATTAATAACAATTAAGTGCACCGTCTGGTTTTATCTAATCCGTGACGATAAGTATACATTGGACTTGTTCGCGTCTTCGAAGCGTCTTCGAATTGATTTTCAAATGCATTTTTTAAACCTAACCTAACCTTCCAAACAGAACGCCGTGGCCGTTACCGCGAAGAGCGCCGCGAACACGTGCGCGGGAAAAATCCGGCAGAAAGAACTGGCCGTCAAGCAGGCTGTGTTGGAGGACTTCGACGTTTCCGTCAGTGACAGACACGGCGAGTTGAGACGGTCGTTTAACCGCGAAATGGAATGGGAACTCGCGGAAATGGCCGAGAACTACCGCGGACGAATTGCATTACACCGTCGGCAATTGGACTTGCAGATTAAAAACGTGCGAGACCGTTGCGAAACCGATGTGAGCGAGTCAAAGGCGAAATTGAAAGGCGAACACGACGAGCAGATAGCGGCGGCGACGGCCAAGAGGAAAACCCGGCAAAAACCGATTAGTCAACAGCATAGAGTAAACGTATATTTACAGACCCGTGACCCCACAGATATGTAATCAGCCGATTTCACCGACATTTGTTAAGGATTTAACTTATTGTCAATTACGTTTAACAATTATTTAGTGAAATTTGGGTTTCATCGAGATTTGTTGGCCTTAACACGTTGTCAAGTTAATCAGCCGAAATCGGTTTGTTAAAAAGTTAATTGGCATAGATCGTACATTACTTGTTGAGTTTTGATTATAAAATTATAATATTATCACTTATCGGTTATCACATTTCGTGATAACCGATGAGAACGTTGGAATCGAGGTAACCGCTTTAGTAATCCAAGTAACACTTCGTTAACTTAACAATGTTATGGTGAAACTTACTTAATTTAACCGGATGTTAAATTTAAATGAATTGTTAACTAACATTGTGTTAGGAGTGTATTTAATAATAGTTGGTGAAACCGGCTGATTATATATTAACCTAGATAGCCGACTTCGATGTTTGCACAGAAGCTTGCGCAAGCCTCGGACACTGATAAAACGTAACACAGGGAAGATACTTATCGCACAAAAACGCGGCGGCCATCTTGTTAAGGCTACACCACTAATTAGATCTCTAAAAAATGGTCATTTTTTTGTTTACATTAAAAGTGACCTTTCTGCTTTTATCTATTCTGTACTTGGCGGCCATATGCTGTGTGGTCAATGTTTATATTGTGTTATCAATATTACATTGGGATAATATTATAACGATATTAACACACCTTATAGTAATATACCTTACACTAAGTACACCTTATATCTCATTACCACAGTGAAATATTGGTAACATAATGTACGCACTGCATATGGCCGCCAATTTTATTTTTTGAAAATACGTCTAAATTCATAGTCTGATATCTAGATTAAAATATTTATCTGTGGCTGTAACATTATTTTATAATGCTCAATACTCAGCTCACGAAGCAATTAAGTAGGCGACCGGCAGTGTGACCACTTTAAATAAAAATAAAAAAATATTTTTTTAAGTTGTTAAACACTGCACAGTATAATCCTTAACAATAGATAAAAAATTAATTTTATACGGTAATGTGATAGCCGTAGTCACCGGAGAGAAAGGGACGGAGTGTAACAGTAGTTTGTAATTGCGGGGTAGAAGGCTCTACATCATAGAGTAATAAGCCGTCCCCTGTACCGCCTGCATTCCACATTGATTCAACAAAAGTTGCAATTTTCAGTTTGACCATAGTCATTAAAAAAAACTACTGTACACATAAAAATTATACTTTGACAACTTACTTGCATAGTTTACATTAAATCATAACACAAGTAGTGTCACCACAATTATTTACCAACTACCGTTACAACATTTTTATTGGCGCACTGAAAATTGCAACCATTGAAGAGCTGTTAAGTCGATGAAACTGCTCCTCCATATATTAGACTATGCTCTGCTTATAATTAAACTAATTTTTAAGTAGTGGGGGGAGGGTGAAAAAAAAATGTTGCTGCCCGGGGACAGCTTTAAAAACGTATGAAGGGGATACGTACCGGAGAAATGTAATTCCCGTCGTTCTAGTCACGCTGCTGAGGTCGACCCTTCGCATTCTTGCACAGTATTTTACTTATTTTTGTACTCCTGGTCAACAGCGAGGAAAACCACCAACGCAACGGCCCCCGACAAACCGGGGCGTGACCCGCAAAGTCGGGCCGAGCTCGCTCAAGGACCTGCTGGCGGAAAAACTGCAAACGATCGGCGAACGCGACGGCCAAATTGGGTTTTGTCAAAATCGAATCAAATCCGTAATCGACAACTACGCCAAATTGGTTCCGGTGGCTATGCGAATTGGCAAATCCGAGGCCGGATACTTGGTGGACAAAACGAAAATGTTAGAAAAACACTTGCACGTCTTCGCCGTGGATCCGCAGTTCGAGTCCGGTCACAAAGCGAATCTTTAAAACGCGAAACCGTCGACCGGTGTAAAAAATAAACCAATTGCCGCGGGTTGTACGACACAACTATAAAAAAAGCTTCTCGTTTCACCGTTGCTTTCAGCGTGTTTCGATTGCCTACTATCGATTGCATATGAAAATGTCCACCAGTTCCTACTAGGAGGCCGCCATTTTGTGAACAGTTATTGTTTTGTCCATGATATTTTTTTGTTTTTTCTATGATTTATCAAACATAATATGACAACAGCTTAACCTAAAATTTTAATATGTATCATGGAAAAGTAACGTAGCATTTTTACTTTCTATGAAATTGGTACACAAAATGGCTGCCTCCCAGGTCGGGACATTTTTCAATTGGGTTCAGTGGTTACATTACATTGTGTCATTGACAATCACTGTCCGCCAACAAAATATGTCCAAAATAATCACCATTATGTCGCAGCTGAGTACACGTTTCAAAAACCTACTTACAATTACTCAAAAGTTCCTATTTATGACTTATAATAATTAGTCCGAGTTGATTTGGATATAATGAGTACATTTTGAACATTTTGAGGGTTGGAAATTAACATACAAATTTTAAAAACTTACTTATGAATTACTTACAAATCCT